CATTGCATTTACCAAACTTCCCAATTTTTTATTCATATTTAAAATAACATTAAAAAAATCTCTTTTGAAATACTCAGTTCTAGGGAGGGTTCTTTCAATTTAAACTTTATTTTCCATTTCATGCCAGTTTTAAATTTCACAATTACAATAATACATTAGGGGAAAAACTGAGGTGTTTGAATTACTTGAATAATTATCAATATCATTATAGTAATAACTGAGACCTACCCCATCAGCATCTGTGGCATTAACATCCAATACAACTGAACCTACAGGGAAAGTGTTGGATATATTTCTAACATAGTCAGGAACTTCTGGCCTGGCAAAGTTCCGTAGAGGTGTCACTGTAAGGCAGCGGATGGCCTGGTCGTTCGGGAAGGCGCTGTCATAGGCAGCCACACATATCTATATTATAGAATATGTCATGATTTCGTTGATATGGTGTGAGAAGCAAAAAATGATTAAGCAAAAGTAAATTTATTCAAATATGAAAATCACAAAAAAACATACACATAAACACACACACACATACACAAGCACACACACACAAATATGAATCAAGGAACTGGAACAATTATGTACAATCATTTTGAACTTTTAAATTAGTGATGATACTGAATTTCCCTTAAAATTTTTCATACTCAAATCTTTGAAAAATGTTATGTTTGTTAGCATATCTTTCTCAAATGAGCAAATATAATAAATTCAGTCTAGATCAGACATGTAGCATTGTTAATCAATGTGACTGGATGAGAGATAAAGTGTGTTAGGTGTTCCAGTACATACAGTTTTTCATTTGGCAATACTGGAATAAATCAGAACATCTGCTCCCTCTAGTGGAGTGTTAAGCACTCTAACCTCATCTGTAGTGTACTTACAAAGTAAGCCGATGTCCTTGTCTCGTCTTCTGTCATGGAGCGCTTGATATAGATAAGACCAGATGTGGGGTCTCTCATTTCAAAGTACTGAGTGGCTGGGTACTGACCCATGACGCGGTAGTTGATGGTGTTCTGAAGTGAAAAAAAAAATAGAACGATTCTCCATTACCCAAATAAACAAGTAAAAAGTTAAAAATTTGTGCTATACTGACAAAGGCGATGGTCCCACATGACCAAAAGTCTTAAATTATATTTCATATTTCTAAATGACTGGTTGCTGGTGTTAAGGTTGTTCACTTTTTGGTGACTACCTGAGGCAACAAGATAATTATTTCACCACAATTATGTAAGCCAACAAATTACTCCACACACAAGTATTTTTTTATTTCAGTTCTGCAAGTAAGCCCAACATTCATAAGAATTTACTTAATATATCTACAAAACTAGACAACTACATGACCAAGGATCAAATGTGACTACAATGGAAAATAAAACAAAACAAAACAAAACAAAACATACTACAAGATTCTCATCAGTGGCTTTGACTTGATAAATGGCTCTGTTGATAGTAGTGTTAACAGGGAGGGGGAGCGTAAATGGAAGGTTCTCAAATGCGGGCTGAGCTCCAGATCTCAAAATGGTAACATTCACGTGTGCTATGGCAGTCTTGGGTGGTTGGCACTGGTCACTGACCTCCACAGCGAACTAGAAAACAGTTACTGTCAGTTTTATATCAATTAGAACCAAATTGATAAATAAATCTGTATTTTCCAAAATAACGATTTTTAGGAATGATATTTATAAGTTTGAAAAAAGTACCTGTAAAGAATGCAAACTTTTCTGAGTCAGTTAAATTATTCTTATTAAATTACTAAGGTTTTTGAAAATTTCCAGCAGTTACACATCAAATTTTCAAATTAAACATATATTCATTTTCTTACAGCCCTGACTGAGCTGATCATGAACAATGAAAACCAATATATTATTGCTCACTTGTGATACCAAGCGTTCTTTGTATTATGTAAACAATATTGAATAAACCCCACCTTCTTCAAGGGTGTTAAATATACTTATACTTCTTACTTACCTTGACATTTTGCTTGTAGTCCTTACTTTTGTTTATTGGTTTCATGATATATTTTGTGACCTTGATATATATATATATATATATATATATATATATATATATATATATATATATATATATATATATATATATATATATAATTTACCCTTGGTATGAGCTTATTTGTACAATACAATACTCACCTCATCACTGGATTGAGGTGCATCTTTCATTGGACGACGGGTGTATATCTGTCCAGTTCTGGATTCAATGTAGTACCACTGATTGACCTGGTTATCACCAATGATTTTGAATGTCAAAGAATCCTACAAGAAATACAAATACAATAACATTATGAGGTAACTTCATACTGAACAACACCTAGAACTCTCCAGCATGGAAATCAAAGAATATTTACTTGTATAGGACCAGTATGAACAACAGCAATGCTGCAGTGCTACTCTTTTATAGACATTATAGGCATCATGTTTCTTTTTCAACAAGTTATAAAATACATGTAGATTGTAAACTTACTAATTTATTTAACTATTACAATTAATAAAGGATACAGAAAACTGTTCAATTTTATTCACTAGTCTTTTTTAAATATTACAATTATATATCTAACATATGTTGGGGTCCTTTATACCCACAATTTAATAGAATATGGGCAAGCCCACAGTGTTATAATCAGCAAACATTCTTTTTTTACTTACATTTGTAGGATGAGAAGCCACAAGGGGCACTCCTACTTCCTGTCCAGCTGAAAACTGGTCAGTAATGGTCAGATAGTATCTCTGGATTAACAAGTTGGGGCCACGGGGGCTGCATATCACGTTAATGGTTAGAGTGCCCTGTGTCCTCTGGTCTGGGAAGGCACTATCAAACACTACTACTCTGATCTAGAAAAAAAACAAATAGTCTAAAACACATATCAAAATTTCTGCAATAGTCACATTTGTTTGTCAAGCTAGTAAAATTTTGAAGCTGTCTGAGATGTAATATATGTTTAAATTACCACAGGCCTTGTATTGTCAGCCTAGACACTATCAAAAACTGACTTTGTTGATCAGTTGTCACCCAATTGCTCTCAGGTACAAGTAATTATGAAAGGTAATTAGTCAGTTGACCTATATTCTCTCATGACTACCTGAGGATAATTGGATGACAATTGATCAACATTTACCTGTCAAGGGTCACCTCTGTGACAATGGCCATAGTGGCAGCTTAAAAAGCCAGTCAAAGTCTTCCAAATACACATATTAAGAGAAATAAAAGATAAAAATTAACATGCTGCCTATGGTAGTGTGCAACATTCCCATTTCTAATCCCACCTCCTGAGACTTACTGTGAATATTCTTCCACTCTGGCCACTCAAGGAGGACCTGAGAGTCAACCTTCCATTGGGTTCCATGTTGAAGTAGCTGGCATCCCCTGGGGGTCCAACAATGGAGTACTGCAAGGTGCCCTGAGAAGAATATAACAGTTTTAAATGACAAGGAGTGCCTTAGGTGCACCAGTTTGTGAAGAGGATTTAGAAAATTTTATGAGGATGGAGTTATCGAAATTTGCAAACATGCATGTGCAGACAGATTGTGATCATACTCAAAATAAGGGCTGCTGGTAAACATAATTCCATTTTTAATAAGGATATTAAACAGGTCTTAATTTATAACTGCAGAATGTTTCATCTATTTTTACTAAAATTGTAGTTTGATTTTAAAACATTTAATGTAAATCCAGAAAATTTAGAATTTAAAAAGTATTATGATAACATGTTATAAAAAAAAAATAAACAACCAGTAGCAAAATTTAAATTTTAACGCATGTGCTTGTATCAGTGGAATAAATTTTTCCTTGCTATATTACATCTTATATGGCCACCTTACAGTAGCAGCTGAATTTAATATTTTCATATCATACTTACTTGTTGGTTAGAGTCCCTTGCTAACACAGTAAATAAGTGGCGACCCGGAGAAATATTGCTGGTGATGTTAACAATGTCTGGCAGGTTAAGGAAGACAGGTAAAGTGTTGTTAGTGGTCACTTGGACTGTGACACTGGTCTGTCTTGTACAGGGAGGCACCTGGTTGTCACTGGCTCTCACTGTGAGCTGAAAAATACACAGGAAAAATTTGACAGTTGAAGATATATAAACAGAAGGCTGCATGGACAGATGGTCAGGAAAAAAAATAGGCATTCAAAGTGAAATGGCATTTTTTGATGAATAAGTTTGAAGTGAGGAATGTGACTGACTGAAACTTGACTGTCAGACTTAATTGTGAGGAGACCTGAAATGTTCAAGGCCATGGCATGACCTTAGACTGCTAGAAGGTTGTAAAAAAAACATAAGAATTAATATATCTATTTAGTTTCTTCTTTATATTCTTATAATACACTTATCATCATCATATTGTCTAATTTAACAATATGTAACTGTAGTGTCACAATTTTTTAAAGAAAAAATTAACCTGAATTTCAATATGTATGCTTTGTTGACCAAACATGGTAGTGTGTGAGAAAAATGTGACTGTATGGCTCAAAATTGTCAATCAACACTGAAAATGTTGACTAAAATAACTTACAGCAAATGTCCTTATGTTGGCATCCTCAAGGCTTTTCCTAAGTAGCAAAGTACCATTATCGATGAAGAAAAATTCATTTGCTGCATTTCCAAGAATGGAATAGCTCACAATGTCCTAGAAAAAGATGATATAATTTTAAACCATGAATAATCTCAAATGTTAGCAAAGCTGACAAATATTGGACAAAAGAAATACCTGAAGTATTTCTACAACCAAATGCATAAAAACTGATTTAAAACCATTAAAAAGTAATGTAAACACAAGTAATGAAATAGCAGACAGAAGTAATTTTGATAATTGATAACATTTCTCTAAAAGCAAACTAACATTTGCCCAATTTTGCAATAATAAAAATTGTTAAATATCACCAACAGTTTTCCAAAACACAAATCAATTGGCTAAAATTTAACTGAAATTCTTACCCCATCTTTATCTATGGCAGACACCTGTCCAAACCCAACTGCCAATGGGTAGTTTTCAGGGACCTGGAAAGCGTATTCATTTCGACGCGAGAACTCTGGACAGTATGCATTACGAAGAACATTCACAATTGCCGTGGCAACTCCTGTCGCACTGCCACGGCGACCTTGTATGTTCAGCTAAAATAAGAAATTGTTTTTAATTATTTGGTAAAAACTTAAAACAAGGAGTGCAATAGACAGCAGTGTACCCTGTTAAACTATATTGATTTGATTTTCTCAGAGACCAGACAACATTCTTTCACCAGTATTTGAAATTCTTTTACCAGTAAGTAAAACAAATTTTATAAGCAGTAGCACAGCCGAATGATACAAAGAAATTTTCTTACAAAATGCATATTTGGTTTTAAATATTTCAAACCACCTGCTTGCAAAATAATAGTATTAGGAACTAAAGAAACTCACCACATAAAATGGTAATTTATATATGTCATTTCTAATGCTCTGGGTTAGTCTGACTTGACCTGTCAGTTGATCAATGTTGAAGTATGACAAGATGTTTCCATATGATTGGATTGAGTATGTGACTCCGACCTGAAATGAAGACATTATTATTATTATTATTATTATTATTATTATTATTATTATTTGTAATGCTGCTGCTGCCGGACAAAGAAGGAAACACTTTAAGGGTAAAGAATGAATTTTGAATAAAAATAGGATTCTACTTTAGTTCTTGCCATAAACAGAGTCTCATCAACTATCTCCACGTTAATAAAAGATGTAGTATGATAAAAGTTTCACTGAAAATAGAAGAGAGTGTAATAAATCAGAAAATGCACTAGATGTGACAGTGCATCTATAGAGAGCCCTACCCCAGCATTGGCTGTAAACAGTGTCTCATTAATGGCCTGTGCCTCAGTGATATTGATAATGTACGGAGCCCCAATGAAGCTGATTCCGTCTCCTGTGGTCCCGCGATCAATCTGGATATGCAACTGGATGGTGGCAATTCTGCCACACTGGTCTTCAGCTTCTATGGTCAGCTGAATTAAAAAAAGCAACATCTGTTTGTGAAAAAATGTAAAACAATGAAGAAAATAAAGGTATATGTACCTTCAGATAGCAGCTTTACCTTGCTCTTCCCACAATAACCAGGGTGCACAGAGAAAGAGGACTTCAGCAGAAGAATTTATGACACCTAAAATCGGTGCTTTTTCAATAATTTTTTTAGCGGCAAGCCCTTTCCCTTTTTGACTGAACAATATCCAAGTTTTACTCTTGTCAATCATGCAGATAAGCTGACCTGGTCAATTGGTTAAAATAAAATCATATAATATAAAAAAAATTGAATCTGGCAAAAACAAAAGAAGCATTTTCAATATCAATTAAAATAATGTGTGTATGAATTAAGTTTGTAACTGATGTCTCAAATGAACCCTGTATTACACAAGATGGAAAAGATATCAAAGTACTTAGCAAATGTGTACATACCTGCATGAAAGGATCAGTGGAAAGCTTCAAAGATCTGATCAGGGTGATCTCACCGTTGCCGGAATTGACAATGAAATACTGCGTTGCTGACCCAGAACCAGACTTCCTATACACAAGAGTGTTGTCAGTGGACTGAAAGAAATCAGATAAATTAAAAGTAAAATTGGGTTAAATAAAATCAAAATGCATAAATCAGTTAAATCAAATCATAAAAAAACATAAAACTATTTCAAAGTGACTCCACTTATTTAAGTATTCAAATTGAGTTTTGAGGCTTCTCTTAAGTTCTGATTTAATACTAAAAATATGGGTTAAATTAAACCATAAACTGCATGATAATTCACAAAACACCTTCAAATATCATTAAAGTGACTGGTCAGCATACCTGAGTGAAGTGTTGAGCAGTGACCGTGTGGACCAGTCCATTGCCCCTGTCCTCTGACAGTGTGATGAGACGGGCAATACTGGAGGGGAAGTAAGGACCCTGACCCCCACAAACCACATTGATCTCTACAGTAGTTTCAGCAGTCTTCTGGCTCTGGTGTTTGCCTCCATCTCGAACAACAATGACAGCCTGGAAAACAAAAGATTACATCAACCACATGCATAATCTTTGGATGAACATGGCTATACATTTGTCATAGCATTATAAAGAGATTGATCTAGGAAGCCCTAGTATAGGCAAATTTCCTCCATAATGTACAAAGAGGCTGTTTTCGCCCCCTGTCCCAATAGTGGTGGCAAAGACACCAAATAAGGTCATTTCTGGTACTCGATAAGCCTGCATCCTCCAGTAGAATGCATTTCTAACACACATAAATATTGCCCTTAATTATCTCTCTTCTTGCCTGGTTATCTTTTGGTTACAGTACATGTAGTTTTGCTGATTTCATATATCCTTCATAATCTTATTTACTAAAGATCAGAACATCAAATGAAGCCCTGATTTCATTATTTATCAAACATTTTGAATGGCCGAAGTCAGTCCAAGTTTTCAACAAACAAGATATGAAAAGATGAATACATACTACAAATTTCTTCTCATCAATTCTAGACAACACTACACCAGGTTTAAGGCTGATCATTCCTGTCAGAGGATTGATTACAAAGTAGTCAGGAGTGTTATAAATGCCTGTCATCTCGTATGTTGTTCGATTGAATGGGATCTGGAATAACAAACACATGCAATTTAATACAATGAAAAAAAAAAACACCAAATACCACTAAAATAATTCATTTTAAGCAATATATATGAGCCCTTATCAAGCCAACCTCACACTTCTAGTGAAAATATGGCCAAAATTATTTTAAAAAAATTTACAAGATCATGTCCATACTAACTCTTACTAGTTGTATTTTGGTGCAATGAATAACCCATGAGCATGAAGCAAAATAGCATTGATTTCCCAGTTACTGAGCTTACAAGGCGAGCACACTTCCTGCTCCAGCATTGCAGACAGACTCAAATGGCCATAATATGTACAGACACTATACTGTATCTGTACATAAAAATTGTGCTGACATGGTTAAATTGTCCATTTGGTCTATTGGCACAAAGTCACGGGAGAAATACAACTAAACTAATATAAAAACGTACCACAGTGTCATTATCTCTGGTCCTGATTTGGAACACGGCTCCGGAAGAGTCAGTGGACACATTGACAGAGTAAGGTTCTCCCAGGAACTCTGGTGGGTACAAATTATAATCTACCCCCATATTCACTGTGGCCACAGTGGAAGCGTTCTTGCTGGGAGTTCCCTTGTCATAGGCAAGGATCTCAATCTAGTAAGTTAAACAAAATAACATATTGTTACTAACTTAAACTATATAGAGCATTTTTCATATGATCTGTAAATAAAATTATTTCAATGTGGTTGGAATTCAAATGTATGAGGTTTAATATCATTCTTTTAAGACCAAAAAGTAAGGTATTGTTGGGTTATATGTGTGGGTTTACAAAAAAATCCACATTACACAATGTGTTGCGACAATGTATTATAAGTCTTGTTAAAACTTACAGAATAGGTTGAACTATTTAAATATCTTAAAATGCCCAGGCAATGAATTTTGTCATTTTAGACTACTACAATTTTCCATGTTCACACTTACCACAAAATTGTCTATTCTTGGATTGATCCCATTCAGAGATTTCCTCAGGTACAGGCTTCTTCCTTCCATACCGAAGTAGTCTATGGCCTGCTGGTCTCTGCCTATCACTTTGTATTCTACTTCATTGAATGGTGACTGGAGAAAACATAATTAATAAATCCTTCAACAGTACTCCTTTTACAGTGTATACCAAAAAAACTCTCACTGCATGGTCTTTACCAGGGTCTAAGAATCAGCTGGCGCAAAGCAGATTTGGTAGCAAGTAACTGACCAAATTCACAAAATTTTACTGCCCCGGCTTCAATTTTGCTAGCATTAAGCAAGGGGCCAATGCTTGAAACACAGACTGTTATTGAAGGGATGACAACTCTTCATAATATGAGATTAAAGATTCCACAATAAATACCTTGTAAACAACAAATAGAAGTATAATACACTCTATTTTACCACCAAAATGGCAGTTATCACAATTATTCTGAAATCTGTGCTTGCCACTGGACCATACTTTTTAAAAACAACCAATCCACTAACTTTGACTGTTAGAATGGATTCATTAACCATAGAAAATTATGGGAAAATCAAGATTTATCCCAGAAAAATCCATTTTATGGCCCTTTTTCTGTCAAAAACTGAAGGGTTGTTGTTAATATCTCTTTAATCCAACAAAAATATTATTTTCCATAAACCCACCAGAGCACTGGCATCCTCAGCCAGAACAGTGAGTAAGGTTTCATGTGTTTCCTGTGTCTCCAGTATCCTGTGGCTGAAAGAGGACTGTCTCCAGATGGGACGGTCATGGTTATGGTCAACTATAATACGGACATCAGCCATTGCCTCCTTGGCTGGGAGACCACTGTCATATGCCCTCACTAGCACCTGATAGAACAATCACAGTTTTATCTTTCAATAACTACTTCAATAATAAAAACTTTTTCATAAGAAGAAAACCGCATTTTTTTTTTGTTTTCTTGTCAATATTATGATTCATACTGAAAAACTACCTGGTATATTTTTTACCTTTTGTTAATATCACTTGTATGGAGGACAGATTTTGCCTTTCATACAACATCAATGTAAAAATCCCTTTAAAACTGAAACTGGTCCTTGAACACTAGTCCAGCAAGTAATGGCAAAAGCAAATCAATGTATTGTGTGTGTGCATGTGTGGTTGCATAAGCATGCATATATGTACATGTGCATGCATGTGCCCATACACTTCTATAAACCTTTTCTCATTTGAATATAGGACATGAACCCAGCGGGCACTCAACGTTGATTCAACATTGAGGATAGGTTGAGATGATGTTGATCCATCAATATTGATAGATCAACAAGATCTCAACATTGAATCAACCTTTTCTTGTCAACCAATTGTCAATGTTGATAGATCAACAGGGTCTCAACATTGATTTAACCTTTCTTTGTCAATCAATTTTCAATGTTGATAGATCAACAGGATTTCAACATTGAATCAACCTTTTCTTGTCAACCANTTTGCCCGCTGGGAAAAGTGTGAAATGGACAATCCGACAAAAAGCATGTGTTGTATTACCTACAAATAAAAGACTTACTAGGAAGTTAATTTGTGGAGTCTCCTGTAGATTTTTCTTCACTCTCACCCAACCATTCTGATCTATAGTGAAATATAAAGCAGAATTGGCACTGCCAACAACTTCCCAGCCAATGGTAGAAAACTCAGGCTGGAAAAAAGATCAAAAATAAATCAGTTTACCTTTCAAAACAAGTGTATTGGTTAGATCTATGTTATGAGTGTTCACTGCAAATATTAATCTTTACTGTATAACTTTATTGTACACAAGAGATAACACTTGCAAAATATACACACCAACATATCTAAAAAAGCACTGAGATACAAACATTTTTAATCAAACTGTCAAGAACATATTAATCAGTTGTCAGGCCCGTAGCCAGCAAATTCAAAAGGGGGTTCTTTTTCTGAAAAAGTGGACCTTTTACAATGAAACTTATGTGTACCTAGATAAAATTTTACCCAAAGTGGACCTTTTCCTGACAAAAAGGGGCGGTTCTTTCGAACCCCCCTGGCTACGGGCCTGGTTGTCAATGTTATGTGTCTAACTTACCCTAGTGTCATTGTCGGTTGCTTCCACCCTGATGACCTGGGTATTCACAGGTGTGGTGTCAGGTATAGTGATCACATAGTCCCTGTTTGTGTTTATCACAGGTGGGTGGCTGTTCCTCAGAACATTCACTGTGATCTGGGCTGTAAAACGGCTGGTCTGGGGTGGGTTCCCTTTGTCTTTCGCAGTAGCAGTGAACTATAACATACACATGGGTTTGTGATAATATTTTTTTTATGAAATGCTACATTATTAAGTCATATGAGACAGTGCAAAATGTTTCACAAATTGTTAAAATGTAAGTGACAATGTGGTAGGGGATACTGAGCATGACAGGTCAACGAAATTTATATTTACACTGTGCTAAATATCAATCCTCTTAGCAAGACATAATAAGTGCATCTGCAAAATTTAGTTTTTATGTCATATTTTAGTGTGTCAAACTTGCACTGCTTAATATGGGTCAATTTATTAATCACAGAATTGTGGCAGTCATGGTGAAATGATAGGTGTGGTTCCCTGTAAAAACTGCAATCAAATGTCCAAGCAGACATACCACATATCTGGTCTTGGTAAAGCCCCAAATGGACTGTTTAAGAGAGAGAACACCTAGTTCTTCATCCAGCTCGAAAAATCTGGCATCTGGAGAGTCCACCAAGGAATAGACAACAACACTGTCTGGTCTCTAAATGAAAAAATTAAATTATCTTTCAATACTGGATTATATGAGAATAAGATAAAAATGTTTTCATGTTGACTGCACAGTATATTTTATTTGTCATATTCATTATAATTACATCATATTGGGGAAAGCTTACTGTTAGGATTAATGTTTGACAAAAATACTTTGTGCAATTACTACCACATTTGGAAACCAGTTAAATCACAGCTTTTCATATTTTCATTTACTACAGATACCTAATTATCCACTTTTCTTTCTTATCACCAAGCTGCTCTGATTCTTAAACTCTGGCATCAAATACTATGTAACATATACAGTCTTTTACCTCAATAATTAATAGCATCTAAAATAGGAAAAATATGTTAAAGAGAAAAGTACATATTTTGTCATTCATACTAACAACTTCATCCTTATCTGTAGCATTGAGCCTGATACCAGGGATAGGGGAATTGACAGGATGGGTCTCCAAGATGGTGGTCTGGTATGTTAGCTCCTGGAAAACTGGTCTATGGAAGTTACGTAGAACACCAATGTTGATGACAATGTTTGTGGTGCACGGAACAACAGCACGATTGCTGGCTTGGATACGGAGCTGAAAATAGAAAAAAAAAACTGTTAATTGCCATTTTTGAATTGGTTCTTACCAATTTGCAGTAAAAAGTTGAAACTAATTGCAGCTACATTTGTATCAAAAGTTTTGACATTTTATAGGAGTTAAGTTACAGATATCAAGTGTATTTTCATATCTCTTGATTTAATAAAGCAATGCTGCAGATACATGTACTTAAATATCATTAGAATAACTAGAATAATGTATGTGAAATCATTCATGGAAATTAATCAAGATTGGCTGTATGTGTCAGGTTTCTATTTATTAATTTTTTCATTTTTTTTCTTTCTTTGTTATGTCACAATTATATAGTCTTTTACCTGATATTTCACACTGTTGTCAGAAGCAAGGCCTTCTTTGGTTGAAACCCTTCCTGTAGTCTGGTCAATTTGGAAGACATTAGGTGCAGCATCATCTCCAATAATTGTGTAGTCAATGCCACCAGTCTGAAAAACAATCATGGAAATATTTTTTTAAAAAGCCATGCCTTCATAAAACAGGCACTTTCAATAATTTGGTTTTCTTTCAATTTTCTTGCAATTTTTCATATCAAAATTACAGTAAAGGACAAAATTCTTCTATTTGCAACAACAAACATTAATTATCACTGCTGATCATAACATATGCCTGTAGCCAACGATTTCAGTTGGGGGTGTCTTTTTCTCAAAAAGTGGACCTCTTTACCACAAAACCTACATGCACTTCAGTATGACATAAAACCCAGATCAAAATTTAACTAAGAGTGGACCTTTTCCAAGACAAAAATTATTCGGTACCACCTCCTGCCTTCAGCCTGAAGTGCAACTGGGCCCTTTCTTACATGTAAGACTTACCCCACCAACATCTTCAGCTTGCACTTGGAGTACAAAGGTTCCTGGCTGTGCCGTGACGTCCACACTGCCAGAGTAGTCTGTGATGTTAAACTGAGGACACTGCCTTTCACGTATCACGTATACTATCACTCTGGCAGGAATCTGACTTTGTTTACGTGGGTAGCCCTTGTCATAAGCGGTGACCAGGAACTGAAAAAAGAGAAGGATTTTGATCAATATTGATACTATATATCATCACATTCTACTTCTAATTAGGATACTTGTTGTAATGAACCGCAAGACCTTAACAAAAAAATATATCTTTACATTTTAAAGTAAAAAAAAAATACTCATACAGTAACTGCATACCTTAATATTTTGTTTGTAACAATATTTCTTTAACTGTTATTTTATAATACACAGACAACTGATCTTAAAACATGCCAATTATTAACTTACAATTTGAAATTAGTTCTTAAAATGTATAAGAGATATAACTGTTCTTTCTTATCTTTTATATCATCCTAGTAAACCTTGGAAACTGACTGGTTCCATGGGTCAATGTAAACATCTTTAATTTTACAAATAAAGAATGGTTTTATGTGAAGTATATTGACATAAATTACTAATAAAAGTTCTCAATACGCACTGTGTATACTCCTGTTTCTGTAGAGTCCTTGCGCAGCCATTTCTTCACATAAATCACGCCTGTGGATGCATTGATTCCAAAGTACTCATGGCCTCCCAAAATTTCAAACTGCACCTCATTTTGTGGCCTCTGTCAATATACAAAATCAAAAACTGAACAAATAAGTCATCACATAATATTATAAATAATGGAGATATTGTATATAACTTATCTATTAGCAATGCATTAAATATACTTAATTTATGGTGGCTTATGAAGTTAAACTGCCAGAATGAATATAGGGAGTTACAACAACTTGATTTGGAGTACTGTATCTGGATTATTATCGATAATTTCTTAAATAACATAAATGTTATTGACAAACAATATTCATCTAAACTTTTTGATTTAATCTTACACAATTGCATGTCTGTTTCAAACATTGTTCAATTTTGTGTGTTTCAGCTTGACTGGGAAATTGGCTATTTATTTATTCACTTATCTATTTATTTACCCTGATATCCTGATCTGTAGCAGTGACGACAATCCCAATGCTTTCATCCACATCATGGTCCTCAGTAATGTTGGCAGTGTAGGTGGTGGGTTGTATGATGGGTGCATGGATGTTCATCTTCAGGGAGATGTCAATAGTTCCAGTGGCAGTGAACTGTTTGGGTGGCAATCCACCATCTACTGCTATCACACGCAACTGAAAACACCATGAACTGCATTTAAACAACATGTCTATTCCATATGGTAATGTAAAAGATATTCTGTTTTCACTCACTTTTTTAAGTTATGCCTATCATAGAAAATGTAAGAAATATGGCCACAATAAGAAGTGATGCTAAGGTATTCAAATAGGAAAAACATATTTATGATGCAGTAAAATTGTTTAAAATCACATACTACAATAACTGTGTAAGATGATGCAATGCTTTGAGTGTGTTAGGTGAGACATTGTGTTGGATTTAGTCAAGACAGCACTACTGCAGTTGGCAAAACTTTAGATAAAAATTGGTCAATATTTTGCATCTATTAGGTGAGAACTGTGTGAGAAAAGATATTGAATATGCAAGGTGAGACCATAAAATACTTACCCTGTAGAACTGGTTTGAGTCACTGGTCAGATCTCTCCTGAGAGAAATAATACCAGATGATTGGTCCAGATTAAAGTAAGAAAGGGCAGAGTCATCTCCAATTAGGAAATATGATATGTCATTGAATGGAGTCTGAAAACAAAAAATTAAAATGCTCATTTAAAACAAAACCTTTCAATTTTATGGTATAAGTTCTTAAACATTAAAGCAAAATTCAATACTATGAAGGGTTTAATTCTTTGAGGAGAGCAATTCAAACTAAATAAATGCTGGCATAGTTGTTTTTTTTTTTCTAGAAATAAAACCCAGTGTCATTTTAGCATACATTTAAGAAACATTTGATTATACACGTTCCACTAAGTGACAGCCCCATTTTGGATTTTAAAAGAAGCTTTATACAAAATTTTCATTTCACAACAAGTGCACTTACATGTGTGTCATTATCCCTAGATTGCACAGTGTAGATCAGGGTGTTCACCCTGGTATCCACAGCTAAATTGGTGATGTTGTGTGGAAGGTTGAGGAAGTAAGGGGGGTGGTAGTTCCTTTGGACATTCAGGGTCACGTTGATAGTCTGACTGGTTCTGGCTGGCACGCCCAAGTCAACAGCACGCACCCTAAGCTGAAATGGTATTTGGTGTGAATTATCAGGACCTGAACATTTAAACAAAAAGCATGTTTTTAACACTCAACTCTTAATTCATCTTAACTGATGACTGTTTAATTTCAAGGATTGCAGTTTACTTCTTTTTACAGTGGCAGACACAAGGGGCTACAGCACAGATCGCAAGCCAAAACTGACAGTTGTCAAAATATATAGATGTTTTTGTGTGTTAAAATCAAAAAGTTCGAAAATGAAACCTTGGAATCTTTTGCAACATCAAAACCCAAAGTTATTCTGTCTACCAAATAATCTAACTGTAAAAAGTATATATTACTGTACTTATAACAAAAAGTCAATAATTGCATCTGTCAGTAACTATATTACCAGTGGAAGAAACTACATATAATAAAGCAGTAGAAATAAATTTTTAGAGAAAACATAACTCACAATGTACACATCTCTGTTGCAGGCCTCCTGGAGTAGTGAAGTATTTAAAAAGATGACACCACTGTCCTCTCTAACCAGGAAACAATACTGGCTGTTACCTCCAATTACTTGGAACTTGACTTCATTGTTAGGGGGCTAAAAAGAGAAAAACATATAATAGAAATTCTAATAATATAATAGAAATTCTAACCCCAAAGTACTCTAAACCTTGAATAAAACATTTTTTGCGTATGAAAAAAAGAGGCTTTACTTATGTTTGTGAAAGATGTTTGCAAAAAGTGGAGTTAATCTGTCAATCAGGTTTCTGTGGTGCAATGTTAACACGAAGAGCATAAAAATTCCTCACCTGGCTGTCAGCATCATAATAGCAAATTCTTCCAACAGGTGCCCCAACAGTGACTATCTCTTTCACAGAGAAGGTGAAGCCACTACTGTCACACGGTCTTAACTCAGGCGGGTTGAAGTTTCGACCCACATTAATCCTGACTAGGGTGTTATTACACTTGGGAGGAATACCACCATCACACACATACACTTGGAACTGGAGGGAGGAAAAAGTATCAATAACATTCAAATATTGTATTACTACCTCATTCTTTTCCATAAGTGTTGTATATAATTTTCATAAAATTTTAAAATATTGTGAAACAGTTATGGATTAATAATAATAATAATAATAAATGTTTTATTGTTAACCAAACCATCAGCAGTTTGCTACAGAGCCTGATAAAACTCTTTGGCCATTTTATTTACCTCAGCTGCAAGTAGCGTTCAAAAATATTGCAAGAAGAAAAAATATAAATTTGAAAACTCTTTCCCAGCTCTTACTTGGTAAGCTTTGGTGCTATCCAGTCTCAGGTTGTTTTTAACAGTTATCCATCCATTATTATCAATGGAGAAGTAACTGGCTGCAACCTCATCTCCGCTTATTGTATACCTCAGCTGGCCAAATGGGTATGCCTAAAATGTAAATGCAATAAATGATATATGCTTTTACCATGTGTATCTTTGACAATGGTTAATAGGTTTAAGTGTGTTTTTATACTTAAAATGCGACTGTATGATACACATGAAAGTGTTTTTGAGTTTGAACTATGACATCAGTTAAGTTGTAATGTAGATTTCTTCAATGCTAGAGATGTCCAAAAGATTTCATGAGATACTTTTTAAATGGTTTTTAAAATGAACAAGTGATCAAAATCTTACTGACAATAATGGAAAGAGATGTTGCCCCTAGCAATAGATTTGCTGACAGAAATTTAGTATAACAATTGCCATGATCTGTACTTACACTAGAGTCCCTGTCTATGGCCACGATTCTGATAACTCTGGTGTTGACAGTGACATTCTCTGTGACATTGGCCACATATGGCTGTTGTAGAAAGTATGGGGTGTGTTTGTTTCTGATCACATTCACTGTCACCTGCACTGGGAACTCACTGTATTTGGCAGGATTACCTCCATCTTTGGCATACACTTGGAACTGCATTGAAACATGTATTTAGATCATGATAAGTATGTAACAACAGAAAAAGAATCAAAAATTATAATATTTGACAATTAATAAGAATTAGGCAATGGTGATTTCTTACATGATAAAATTGGAATGATTTTCCTAACACTTCTTCACTTCCACAATTTATCAAAAAAAAAAAATGAACTGACATATTACTTATGGCCAAAAAAACTTCAACAGTACTTTTCATTTATGGTCCACTTCAAAATTGCACCATATTTCTTGATTTATTACATTACACATTAATATACAACATATTAGTTAACCCACCCTGAACTGCTCTATGTCTGTTGTCATCAGGTCCCTATAAACATAAATGTATCCTAGCTGGCTTGGCATACTGAAGTAGTTCAGATTAGCATCAGGATATCTCAGTTCATAGTATACTTCATTCCATGGTGTCTGAAACAGAGAGAAATAAAATGAAAGAGAATATGACCTTCGTGTCAATATGACATTGTGTAAGGTGTGACTGTTACAGGTTGATTAATGTGTTTGTTGAGATGGTATGCATTAATTAAACATTTAAATAGCAAAGTAAATATCATATCTGTAACAATAAAAAACATTAGGAAAGCACTTAAGATAACACTTATGACTTTATGAAAAAATAAATCTGAATTTACATGCAAACACAATTATACACATATGCAACAATCCTAAAAACCTATTTATTCACAAATATCTCAAATTAGTTACCTGAGAGTCTATATCATTGGCTGTAATAGGCACTCCATTGATAGGTGTCTGCCTGTTGTGTGTCTCCAGTATGGTAATGTTTAGTGAACGGGAACCCACAAAGACTGGGGCGTGGTCATTCCTACTGACCCTAACACTGACTACTGTGGTGGCTGAGCAAGGTGGAACTGCTCCGTCTTTAGCCACCACACGGACCTATGGAAGTAATCATGAGTTATATATTCAATTACAAGAAATGTGCTTAGTAAACTTTAAATTATTACATATTTTTTTAGTCCATGGCTAACCATTACTCCATGGCTACCCCCTTTTTATACTGAAAATCACTATGGGTGAATGGACTGCTTAACATCTGTACATAAAATAATATCAGAAATAAATACAGTAATTTTACAGTTACCTGAAATCACCATTTTAGATCACTTGCACATGAAGTTTACACTGTGTACACATACATTGGTTTCTAATTTATTAACCTAACATGGACAATGACACAAACACCTGTTTGGTTTCCTGAAAACACTACTCTTAGAGACCACTTACTGAGTATGTCTCGGCTGTGTCAGGCAGCAAACTCTCTTTGAGGAAGATTCTACCAGACAGAGGGTTGATGTGGAAGAATGCTGGTGCTCTCCCATCCCCAATTATCTCATAGCTGAGAGTATTGAAAGGAGACTGGAAGGAAAAAGGTCATGGTGTCATTAACAAGCACTGAAACAGTATTTAATCCACATTTTTACAGTATGCCTATACGCTATATACAGTATTAAAACTTGGTTTGGTTTTCTTATAGGTGTCAAAATTTGAGTTATCGTTTGGAAGTCTAAACTAAAAAAAAGGGATAAAAAGATTGCAAATTTCTCCACAGTTTTGGATAGGGTATACCTTGGTGATTTAGAAGAAGTTACCAAAATTTCTAGGAAAATCCGTTCTATTTTTTGCCAAAATAAAGGTCTCCTGTGCACGGCATAACCTAAATAAGTTAAATCCTATTATGCACATCCAGATATTGTTCTTAAACTTACCCGAGTATCTCTGTCAAGAGCCTGCAGCACATACACAGCACTGCCATTGGAAGCAGTCTGGTTTGCTCCAGTGGTGTAACCATTGGGATTGAACTGTGGGCAGTGGTTGTTCCTCTCTATCAAAACATTCACACGGGCATTGATCAGAGAGTAGAGTGCTGGGTTGCCCCCATCGTAGGCTTGTATGAAAAACTGAGGGAAGAAAGCAGAAAATCACATTAGAATATAAATTATTTTTGAGCAACAGATATAAACAGGTTGCTCTGCCCATATAACATAAGCCAAAAGAAAAGCATTAGATTAGTTATACAAAAGATGAAGGAAAAGCAATGCAAAATGACTGCTTATTAAACAAATGGTTCATACTCCAAAATATTTTCTCTCTTTTAGATGTTTAATAGCTTTCATTACTGCCAATTCACTTCTAGAGCTAAGCTATGGTGCTACAGCTGATCTTTTCTACATGCTGTCACAGTTGAAATGTTTTACAGAGGGAAAAGGTGTAGACAGAAATAAATATTTCTTTTATCTGAGCAACAAGTTGCCCTTTTTCAAAATCAAAATCTGTAGTGATAATTTTTTTCTTATTGCACAATTTATCAACTGAAACTAGAATTAAACCAATTTTCTAGTTCAAGCTTTTTGTTTTATTGCATTACGTTGATATTCCTGGTCCTTGCAGAATCAGCTCGTAGGTCCTTGTGCACATATATAGAGCAGTCCCTCTCATTTATGTTGAAAAATTCACGCACTTTAGCACTTGTGCCTGGTGCAAACCTGCAATACACTCGGTTGTATGGTATCTGTAAAAAGAAAAACAGAACAACTAGCCTGCAGTTCTACTTAGTACAGAAACAACCAGATGGCCCTAATGGTAGTTTTTCTAATTATTCTTCTCAGCATGAAATTTCACTGTCTATCAGACATTCTCAAAATGTTGATGTGGTGATAAGTATTCTCATTGTCAAGTTTGTTGCAAAAAAATCCGAAAACCTGCTGTCCGTAATGTCCACCTTTGCAGTCACCCTGTTTGCAAAACTAGGAGTATAGTTTTCTTACCTACTGAAAAAGTCTTGCCAATGCTAATAAATTAATGTAAAAATAGCTGCATTCACCTAAGTAAGTATTGCATCAAACTTAGAGCAAAAGACTTCTTTAACGATTAAGATGCCCAGATTTTCTAGGAATGGCTGAGGAAGTGGACAATTAAACAATCTGGATTAAGCAATATAGGTGTAACTTTGTCTTCAGGAATTAAAAAACAATATGTTTTGCCTGGAAAGTGATATGCTCATCTTGGTAAATGTGTTAGGTGTGACAGTATGTAAGATCTGTTATTGTGTTAGGTGTTCTGGCACCTTAATCGGGTGTGCTAGATGTGCCATTGTGTCCAGCATACCCTATAATCCAGATCTGTTGTGTTGAGATAAAGGAACGGTTCACCCAAAGTTATATACTCTCTTATGGTCTCAGTATATTGAGTTGGATTGAATTCTGGTCTGTATAAGTTGCGTAGAACTCGCACATTTACCACAGCATTGGTGGTCTTGGCCGGGGTGCCTGCATCTGAGGCTAATATACTTAACTGAAATATATTTACATTACATGTTGAAACAAGACTGATAATACTATGGAAATAGATGCATAACAAGTTATATGAAATTGTTTGATTATATAGTAATACAGCCACATATTCCACATAGGTACTTAAATCTGTGTATTTTTAACTTTCATATTCTGATCAGTGTAAGTTGTTTTAACTCAGAGACTGGAACATTTTCACTGAATTTGGTGTAGAATCTCAATTGTAACTTAATACATAATATTCAAAACAGTTAAAAAAAGCCTCATACTTACAGTGTAGTATTCATTATCATCCAGAGTCAGGTTGTTGCTGACCCTGATGACCCCTGTGTACTGGTTGATATCAAACAATTTGGGACGTCTGCCATCATCAACAATATTATATGTCACTGTGCGGTATATCTCCTGTAATTTGAAAAAGTAATGGCAAGTATTATTAAAAGAGCTGTTTGGCAACTAGTGGAATATATTTTTACAAGATAAATGTTTGAAGGACAACTTATCAAAAAGTAACTCAAATAATGTCTTCAAATAGCCATATGCAGAAAATACTATACATTAGAAGAACCCTGCTTGCTTTTAAATTGTTTCCAATATAGCCCATGGTACGGTTGTACTTTTCTAAACCTCTTTAATATTCCAAGTAGTAAATACTGCTAGCCACAGCAAAATAACTGGCAAACATCTTTCCTTGGGTTTACAAATCCACTAATTCCCTATGAAGCAGGGACTACACATGTAATAAATCACTGAAGCAGTTAGTTTACCTCAGTGTCAGAGTCAATAGCCTGCATAATCATCACAGTGGATCCAATAGGCCAGGATTCATTGATGGTCACAGAGAAGGTGTCGTTTCCAAATGTTGGTGGGAACACATTCTTCAACACCCTGATGTCAACGTTGATGATACTGCTCATTCTCTGGACTTCATGTGGAATAACATCATCCTTCACTATGATGTAAAGCTGGAAATAAACATGGAATTATAATTGAGTGCTATCCACCACTGTGATGATGTTAATTTTTTTATTTTTATTTTATTTATTTTTTTGAAACATGGCTATGTATATACTTACAGTGTTTACAGTGGGCATTAGCATTGTTTTTAAAGCCTTAAATGTTCTTATCTTTTGGAAAATGACGTGGCCAATTCAAAGTTGAATGCAGCCTCAGAATAAACTTACTCGGTATTGGCGAACATTAGAATCAGAAAGAGGCCTAGCAAGGGTGATCATGCCAGTGGATGGGTTGAGGTACCACCATTGCCTGGCGCTACTCAGAGTATTGGCAAAATACTCATAGATCAGATTGTCCTGAAATATACAACAGAAACATTTACTGATTGATTCTTCTCATTCAAAATTAAAACCAAAATGACTGATAATACTGTATATGCCTTTGATACACAGTAACATTTATTAGTACATGTATTATGATGCTGTGATTGTAGAGCATATCATTCAAACCCATGAAAATGAGTAGCAAGACAATTATGACAAAGCTCTAAACCTTTCAAACTTCATACTAGATATTGAAAAGCTCCAACAAAGCTCTATTTACAACATAATTTTTTGGAATCAAATTGTACCTTCTTTAAAATTAAAAACACCTACCCCATCTGAATCATTAGCAAAGATCTGGAAGACTTGGGACCCCACAGGCAAACTTTCATTGACTGTGAGACTTATGTAAGCTCTGTCTGGCACATACACAACAGGAGGGTTGACATTCCTCTGTACATAGATGATCATATCTTCATAACTCTCGCGGTCCGGACTGTTCACATCAAAGGCACGGATTTTCAGCTAGAATGAAAATATATCAGTTTTGAATTCATCAAATCTGAGGCAAAAATCATTCTAAAAATTAGAGGTTCATGACACATATTAATGTATGGCATTTTCTACTAAATGTTTCCAAAAAGATATCAGAAGTTACTATTTTCCTTTTCAGATTTTTGATAATAATATTTTGAAAACTGCGATGCTGACAATGGCTCATAAAACCACCTCACACTTACTCTATAGATGAGTTGTCTATCAGCCCTGAGGTCATATCTTATATTGATATCACCAGTGGTTCTATTGATGTTAAAGAACACTGGTGCAATACCAGAGGGAGCCAGTTCATACCGCAAGGTGCCCTAAAACAGAGTATCAAAATGATTTATTATTTAAGTGAATTCAAGTTCAATATTGACTTTTTTAATGGCACTGTAGTTCAATAACATAACCATTTCCTCCATTGACTACTTGTGGAAAATACCTTTAAAAATAAAATATGAAGCAGAGTAGTTTCATCTGGATGTGCTGCTAATGTTTCTCTAATGAAGCTTCATTTTCCATCACCAGAAACTAATGGTATCAAATAAATAGTATTATTTTTTCAAACATGTTTCAGACATCTTTTACTTACTGATGTGAGGGCAGCCCTGACTCTGCGATATATAACCACCCCTGGTAACACCGTCTCTGAGATATTCAGGGTGTATGGGGTATTCAGGAAAACTGGGGACGTGGGGTCAGGGATGACGTAGACCCTAACAATAGCTGTGTCATTCTTGCCACCCTTGTCATAAGCCAACACACTGAACTGAAGAAGAAAAGCAAAATGTTTGGTACAAATGTGAGTGCTTATAGTGTTGTTGAAGGCATATCAATGTTAAGCTTCATAATTAAGGTTTAATTGCTCACATAGAAAAGCTAAAAAAAAAAGAATGTCAAAGTTGTAACTGAGCAGTCATGACTGTTACTTATTCAACAGACTCATCATGTCTGGTCCACTTTTTCACATCTCATGGAAAAAGCATGGCAGACAGCTTTGATTTCTTATATTTCATAATTTTCACAAAAAAAAAAAGACAGAAAACTACTGATAAAATACAAATAAATGAGCAAAAATACATTAAAAAATCATGCGACAATATCAATATATATCAATACAAGTCTATCTATTCAAATTTAAGAAATTATTATGAACGTTTTATCTCTTGGTGAGAACTTACTGTAATGTTCATTGTTCCTTGTCGTGGAAATTGTTGCTTCAAATAAATAATTCCATCATCTGGATGAACGTAGAAGTAATTGCTTCCAAGTCTGTTACTGACAGTATTGGGAATCTCATAAGTGATTTTATCCTGCAGTGAAAAAATAAAGGTTTTCATCAATGTATGGTTTTCCATCAATTACAACTTGTGTCATATCACCATGAAGCAAAATTACAGCTTCATCTGAATGTGCTACTAACAGTTCTCTGATGAAATTTCATTTTTTATCATCCAAAATTGATGGTTAACTGGGGGGGGGGGTGTGCAAAAAATACAGACACCGTCAGTGAAAATGACAACTAAAAATGAAAAATAAAGGAATCTATTCGAATGAAAAATAGACCAGCAAAACAATAAACCATGACGGGGTAGGTGGGGACTTGCCTCATTATCTTGCTGATCACAAATCCACCTAGTGGTCAACAAACATAAGTATTCACACTGAAGAAGGCTTTTTAGAGTAACTCCGAAAATTTGTACCCAAGGTGAATTTTTTATTACATCTCAAATTACACGTTGAAAATTTAGGATGGTAAAAAAATTAAACTTAATTACAAGTTTCTTGTTCCTCAGTTTGTAATGTTTTTTTTTTTTTTTTTTTTTTTTTTTACAGTTTCACAAGACTCCTAAGATTGTAATTGTATGTGGCAAGTACAACTGTATACAACAGTACCACTATACTGGCAATGTTGTAACTATGGCAGACACATCCTTTTTCCTGCTTATCATAAAAATTCCTTATTAAATTCACAACTTACTCCATCTCTGTCAGAAGCAATCACTTGTACCACAAGTCCTCCAAGTGCAAATGTATCGGTGACATTCTTTTGGTAGTATCTTGGGTTGAACAATGGAGGATTCTCGTTCCTGATCACGTTGACCAGAACTGTGGTGGTTGCTGTCTGAATGTTAACCTCAAATGACTTCCTTGCCTCCACAATAAGCTGAAATTAGAGCAAGACAGTGAGAACTATCTGCTATTTTCTTGGAGAATTGTTTTGTGTGTAGCAGTATGTTTGACTTTCTGCCCATTTTTTCCACTTCAGGAAGTGATATTTAATTTAAATTAATCAGTAAAAAGATTAATGTCAGTTTACCATAAGGTTTAATGTTAAAATTCACTAATTATATAATCAGTATATAACAGTAATATTGGGCAACAATACAGTGATAATAGCTAATCAATTACTTCATGGGATCCAAAGTCTCCACATAAAATTATGTTTATTTCAATGAAAAGAAACCATACAACAGCTAGAAACATGGTTAAAACAGCAAGTTGTCTCTATCACTACATGTCACTTACAGTATATTGCTCCTGTTTTGCCAAATCTCTCTCCAGGCTTGATCTCACTTTGATCTGTCCTGTCACAGAATCAACTTTGAAAAACTTGGGCCCTGAATCATATCCTGTCAGATGATACGTTATGCGAGGCTGAAAAGTTGATAGAATGTTTATAATTTTATTTGGACATACTATTTTGTGTCATGCTTTTTTTGCCATATGAAAAAAAGCTTTCTTTCTACATTATTTGCTCTAAGAAATGAAAGCAACAATTGTATAAAAGGTGATGATACTGTGTTGTTTTGGGTCATATATAAGCAATCATTGTGACAAATATAACAATTTATTTTAAAAAAACTTCTGTTATGTTGGTGCAACTTTTGTCATAGCAACCGGTATGATGCTGTTACGAGTCATCTCCAAGAGATGCCCCAGGTCTAGTACATTTCAGTAGCTAGAGTGCAGTTATAATTAGTGTCAAGAAAGACAATATCCAGGTCTTAGTTTGTGTCTACTCACACCAGGTGACGCCTGAAGTCTGATCACATTTTCGTCCACTGGCAATGTCTCTGGTATGGTAACTGAGCGAATAGTTTCATTGAATCCCAGCAGTCCCGAGTCCCTGAGCACATTGATGTACACATTGGTGGTCACAGATCGTGGAAGTGTTCCCTGGTCAGTAGCCTTCACAATCAGCTGGAAAAAAACAAACTTCATATATACATAGATTTACAGTATGAGAAAGTGTTCACTTTGTCTATTTAGAGCTGTCACGTCAAAAAATTCAGCAATTATTATATCTCAAACTTTTAAAAAATGGTAATAAAACAGTACTGCCCTCTGTCCCACAAATGTAACAGTGCAATAAAAAATTTAATAAATTTACAGACAATTAATGTGATAAAAACAACACAAGCATATCATTCTGATAGTTTGCAAATACAGCATGCCATTTTAATACCTCATTCAATGTGGGTGTGTCATGTGGAAAAAATAACAATATTGTCAATATCCATCTCAATATTCAATTTTAAATGGTCTTTCCAATTTGGGAAAACACAGTGATTAAGACATATTGTTAGCATGTTGCCACTGACATAAATGCCTATGGGCAATGTTTTACCTTAAAGTTATTGATTGTTGTGCCCAATAAAGTTTTCAGTAGATAGATCTTTCCGTTTTGTTGATCTATACCAAAGTATTCCTCCGCCTGTCCCTCTCCTTCAATGCTATAGACAAGAGTGCGGTCCTGGAGCTAGAAACACATGGTAAAATAAATAAAAAATCAAACAGGAAAGAGAAGATGATGGCACAAAAACTTCTGAATGTCTGACCGATGTATCTATCTATTATTCATATTTGAGAGTTTTACAACTAGACATTGACTTTTTTTTCCTACAAATGAAAAAATGCTACAAAGTCAGCATGCCAAGAAATAAACATAGACAAATTTTGTAATCATAAGCTGCTTTTCTACATAAAAATAAGCTCAACATTTTATTTATTTATATTTATAAAGCAGTTAATATTGAAACCATTAGTATAATGTCACACTCCATACCCTGATGTCATTATCAGTGGCAAACAGCTGAAGGAATGGCTGGTACAGAGGCTGGTTATTTCTGACGTTGGCGTAGATGTCCCGTGAGTGGTTGAAGGAAGGCGTGACAAAGTTACTATTAATGTTCACTTTGACAGTAGCTGTAGCAAACCTTGAGGGTCGTCCACCATCTCGTGCTTCAACACGGACCTAAAACACCCAAGTATGATAATTAACTGAAAAGCTAATAAAAGCTTGGCATAACTTGAAACTTTTCTATTCCCATAATATTGTACATTATTATATAATTTCTGATAACACTGTCCAATACTCAAGAGAGAGATATACTACAAAATAACACTATATCTTCACCAACCATATAGAAGTCCCTGACAGATGATGGAAGGTTTTGTCTCAGGCGGATAACTCCATCTTGAGAAATGTTGAAGAATGCTGATGCTTCCTCATCACCAATAATGTGCAGGGTCCATTGGTTGAACGGAGCCTACAAGTTCAAGTTCATCAATTCATAATCATGGATCAATCAGATTCTTAATCAGATACTCAATCAGATACTCATTAATAAACATGGATCAGATTAAAACTACTTATTAATAAACATATAAATGGAATATTTATGTAGGTTATGAAATGAGTAAGAATTAAGGCATAATTATGAAGCCACTTTACTTATTCTGACTAATTCTGTACATTATAATGCCAGATACATCATTGCTCAAAATTTCACATAATTTTTAAATTGCATTAATGACACAATTATGTCAATAACAACCGTTCGAACCACATACATAACAGCATACACACAGATTCAGAATGCTTCAGTGCTTACACTATCATCTCTATCTTCTACTGAAACTCTGTACACATAACTTCCTGCCCCATCAGTGATGTTGACATTGGCCACATACGGCTGCTGAATGAACCTTGGGGCAAAATTGTTGCGACTGACATAGACAGTAACCAAGGCATAATTCGACGCATCACGTGGTGGGGTACCTTTGTCCTGGGCTGTTATAGTCAGCTGTTGAAAAAAATAATAATTCAACGTAAATATTTAACATAATAGATGGCAGGTGCAGATTAGTGGTTTTTCCTCTGCATCATCTTTCATCTACAATAAATTTTTTGGACACTTTCATTTTTACTTAAAGCGAGTTAAGAAAAAGCATCTATTCTGACAATTTTACTAGGATAATAATAGCAACAACAAAAGAAACAAATATAAGGTCTGAACCTAACAGAGCCTGCAGCATAAATTGAATCAATTTGAAAAATGTTACAAAAATGCAGAAGAAGGTTCAGTCTACAACCAATAGAATTGTGTAGAGTATGATGTATCAGCATTAGGTGAGACTCACAGTATATATAGTGTTACGATCCAGGTCCTGAGTCAAATAATTCCTCAAAAACACCTCTCCAAAGTTGGATTGTAAGCTTGGGCGTATAGCAAAGTACTGCCTTGCCAAGGAATCTCCAGCAAGCGTGTACACCACTTCATTTTGAGGAGGCTGCAACGACAAGGGAACTTAATACTGTCTTAGCTAAACACAGTGAATCATTGCATGTTATGCCAAGTATTATCTTCTTTCAAAAATTGTTATTGTGAATATATGATTTAATGAATATTTAACAGCTAAAAATAATTTGCCTGTGTATTTTCAGGTATGAAATGAATTTCACTTTTTTCCAAATGAGAGCTGGGAGCAATTACTGTATTCAATGCAACATATGGGACTACAAAACTACAACCCTAAAGTATAAATGAAATTTTAATCTTTAAATGTTAATCCCCATATATTTTACATAAAAATTTCTCATTGACTAGTCTGATATAATGAGAAAACCCTACCCTTCCATCCTCATCCTCAGCTAGGACTTGGGTAACCACTCTTCCAACATCATGGATCTCGGAAATGTTGACAGAAAAGCGCTGATAGCTGGCTGGGAAAATGGGAGCATTCTCATTTCGTATGACGTTAATTTTCAGGACAGATGTATCACACAAATTTGGAGTTCCTCCGTCACAGACTCTGGCACGCAGCTGTGGAGAAAAAGAGAGACATAGTTGTTGTTTGTAACAATTCTTTGTGAAATGTGTCAAACATGATATATTGTGCACCTAACTGGCAGGTGTTGGAATGGGGACATTTTTGTTTTTGACAATCTGGAATTTCCATTTGAAAATAAGATCATATACTTTCAGTTGGTCTTGCCTTAGTAATAGAGCAAAGAGTAAGAATGGCCATGCTACTGCTGTCAGTGTTACATTTTGCTGTATTAACCAACTAGAAATATATTGCTGTATGTAGTACTAATGTTTTCACTTAATAAATATAATGTAAAAGATAACACAAAGTAGCTACTGTTATAGTTACCTGATAGGTCACAGCATCATCCTCCGTCAAATCTCCCTTTACAGTGACAACACCATTGGTACCAATGTCAAAGTAGGCAGGAGCGCCATCATCTCCGATTATTGTATATGTAAGCTGATAGAACTCTCTTGCTATGGGGTCATTGTTAGGATCCCTTGCATTCATTGTGAAAATGGCCACATTGGTTTCTGTGTACTGGCTTATATTGGTAGAATACGGCTCGCCTATGAACCGTGGCGCTGCATTTCGTACAACGGTAATTGATACTTGAGATGGACTGGAGCTCCTGGGTGGGTCGCCTTGGTCCGTAGCAATAACATTAAACTGAAATACAGGAACAAATACTGGTAGCATGCATCATAGGGATTTGGAGTGTTCATGAAAAATTTAATAAAAATGAGCTTTTGCGTTGGTTGGTAGGTGCAGGTAGGTGCAACCTATGTTAACATAGTATTGTACAAGGTAAAAAATGTACTTTCAGTAATAGAGGTTTTTGAAGTGGCCTATTAAGATTTGTGTATGTTGTGTGGTATTGATATCATGTCAGATGTGATACTCTATGGAGCACAATATGCATTGTTATGTGTTCAATCTACTTGTGTACCTATTATCTAAAACAATGAACTACTTGTATATTCACTTTCTCAAGCTTGGTCATGTGACATAACATGTGACAACAGCAAAGCCAATCACAGACTTGCATGCAACTAGAATTTCATATTGTGTTAGATGTGATGCTGATGTTGGATATTATTCAGAGCAAGGAATGACAACTCCAATATACTCACTGTGTAGGAGGTTTGTGTAGATCCCAACACAGATTTCTTTAATGTGACAATTCCAGTATCAGCATTCACAGCAAAAGTATCGCTGTTGGTGGAATAGGTGATGGTATTCTCAGGGGGACCCGAGTCTTGGTCAGAGGCTGAAACCGTTAAAATAAACTGTCCCACGCCCATAGTCTCCTTAATCTTTCCAGGATAACTGCGCCTTGTGAAGATTGGGGCATTTAGATTGCGACTCACATGCACGATGATTTGCATGGTGTCTTCTTTACGTGGTTGTCCGCCGTCTCTTGCACGCACGCGTATCTGATAAGACAAAAAAAAATCCTCATTGTCTAATTCAAATATGTTTCTGGAGCAATTGAATATGACCAATATAAGTCCATCTGAATTAAACATAAAGATACTGCCTTAGATTTCAGAAGATTATAATTTTCATCCATGTCATTATAGGATTAAATATGTTACAATGATACTATGAGGGCTGTTTGTTGGACAAATAATGGCAAAGAGGGAGGAAAATAACTTCACATGACAAATCTTGATGAAACTTACATAGTATGTTTTCTTATCAGCAGTGGCAGTATCCAATGTGGATGACAGAGTGACCAGACCCTGCTGGTTCACAGAGAAGAACAGAGGTGCAGTATCATCACCATTAATGTCATACTCTACAGTATTAAATGGTCGATAACTGTCCCTGTCTCGGGCAAAAACTCTGGCAATTATCGTTCCCACTCTAGCTGTCTGTTGGATGTTGACTTCCACAGTATTGTTGAGGAACTCTGGAGGGTACAGGTTGTGAATAACGTTGATGATCATTGTCGTTGGCACAGGAGCTTCCTTTGGAGGACTGCCTCCATCAGTGGCCAGCACATGGAACTGCAATGAATTATTGTGTTAGGTGAGACAACATCACAATGGGTTATGCTATACAGAATTGTGTTAGGTGTGACAGCATCGCAATGGGTTATGCTATACAGAATTGTATTAGGTGTTATTTTTGAGTGTGACTGCACCAATTTTAAAACCAGCACAAGTGGATAGTTTAGCTGTTAATACGTTTTTATTTTTGGTTTAAGTTACTGGTAATAAAAATAGAATGAAACTACACTAACAGGCAAATAAGATTAATTAAAATGTCTGTTGTGGATCTGATTCAAGAATAAAAAACAAAATAGTATTTTTTATGTTGATTGATGATATTTTATAATTCACAATTATTTACAGCTTACCCTGTACTGAGGCAAATTAGTTGGTTCAGATGTCAGTGGTTGCTTCACATAAATATCACCATTAGGTTGAATGCCAAAATATGTCTGCACTGGTCCCTCAAGCACCCTCGAAATATTATACGTCAGTTGGTTATTTGGAGGATTGTTGTCTTCATCTGTTGCCAAGACTCTAAATATAGGAACACCTGGAGTTTGAGTCTCAAGAATAGTAGTAGTATTACTGGTACTTGACATTATAGGCATTTTAAGGTTTCTCAGCACTGTGATATAGATGACGCCTGAGGCTGTCTTGGGTGGTTGCCCCCTATCCTTGGCCTGGACATTGAATGTGTATTCTCTCTGAGGGCTAGTTCGAAGGTCAGCACGGTTGCGCAGTTGCCCGTTGCTCAAAATTTCAAAGAATGAAGTTGCTGAGCCCATTCCAACACCTTCCATGGTAAACTGGCCAAATGGTGGCTGGAATTTCATAAAACAATGTTATACAGAAGCTTGATCATCTATAAAGGACATAGGAGAATATTTCTTGATGTAACATTCTTTTCAGTCCTTTGAAAAACAAAAACTTATATTTTGATTTTGTTGCTTTTTTATATCATATCAATATTATACATAATCACTTTTAATTCTTTAGAAAATAATGTAGATCAGAATTAAAAATGAAGCATGACCTTCAGTTTTCTTTCCAAAGCTGACCTTTCCATTTTCCAAATCAAAATGGGAGATTCTGCTCCCCACATGCTCTACCAATTAATAAAATCTTCCTGATTTCTCTTGACCATTGTACTTGTATATAAAATGTCAAATCATAATCAGTTCAGCTGAGGCACTCACCGTTGTGTCATCATCCCTGGCTTCCACTTTGAACAGATCCGTGTACCGCACCTCATCTTCCCTGACGCTGATGTTCGCAGGCAGATTTATGAAGAATGGGGCATGGTCATTGCGAGCCACAGTAATATTAACAGTTGCAGGGACCTGGGACTCTCTGCTGGGGGTTCCCAAGTCGTACGCAATAACTTTCAGAGAGTACATCCTTGCCCTGCTTGGTTCTAGTGCTAGTGACTTCCGCACAGTGATACGCCCTGATTCTGGTTCCACATAAAAGTATTCCCTGTCCTCATACCTACCAGCCAGCTTGTACCGTACATCGTTATATGGTGACCGTGTGTCATCATCTGTAGCAGACACTGTCACAATAGTCTGACTTGGGTTGATGATTTCGGGTACTGTCTCTTCATAGAAGGTGGGGTCAAACACAGGTGCTCTCTGGTTACGATCCACTGTGATCACGACTTCTGTGGTGTTTGTCTTTGCTGGCACGCCTGTGTCATATGCACGAACCAGCAGAGTGTACACAGCCGTGCTGTCGCGACTCAGATCCTGTGATGTTGTGATCTGGCCAGTAAACTTGTTGACTTTGAAAAAGTTTGGGGCTGGATCATAACCAAGAAGCTCAAAGAACACACGGTTGAAGGGCTGAAAGGGATAAATATAAATGAGAAATGAATATCATGGTATGTTTCTTAAATAAAATAAATTATAATCAAAAGTAGAGATTAAACTTATCTTATTTAAAAATTATCTGCTCCTTGCATTTAAGTATTAATTTTTTTATATTTTTAAATATTAACTTTTTTAAATATTTAATTAAACTGAAAAATTAAGTCTTTCAAACCAATCTTTTAAATAAAATGTAACTTTATAGTCATTTTATGCTGCTATTTACCTTTTCATTGAGTAAAACTTACACCCTCAAACACAGATTTTTTACCCAAATGTGACTTACTGGTTGATCATCATCGTCAGCTGTGACTGCCAGTATTGGGCTGTTCTCTGGCATACTCTGTGGAATAGTGGCTTTGTGATACTGCTCACTGGTGAAATATGGTGTGTGCAGATTACGTAGAACTCTCACAGTTAACGTCATGGTCTGAGAGTAACGGGGTACTAGGCCACCATCTTTTGCTCTTATTCTTAGCTGAAAAATGTTTTACGTAATATTACTTGCCCAAAATATAGAAACTGAAAGTTGAGTGTGTAACACAGTTATTTACAACTGCTACCTGTGCCAGCTTTCTAAATAAAATATATAGAAAAATAGCTTTTGGAGAATCTAATATTTCTTTTGGAAATTATATTTATCTCCTAACATTAGTGCATTTCTTGAATCAAACCAATTTACCTTAAAAACTGCAAACAAAATTTTCAAACTAACTTCAGAATTTGCAGTTCATTGATACTTGAGCTTTGACTTGTGAAATATTGTTTTAAAACTTAACTAAAAATTCTCTTTTTCAAAGAAATATTAAGTGTTTTAAGTTACTTTATTAGCAGAGTATAACTAAATAGTTATCTGTAAGTTAAATAACTTCATTGATTTTAATTATGGTCAGTATCTTAAATTTTTCAATAATTTATCTAAGACTATGAATTTAAAAATGTGACATGCAGGAATGGACTCTTCCTGTAACCATCATCATGATAATAAAAAGATAATAATGCTTACTGTGTATGCAGGTGTTGTTTGTCCAAGGATATTCCTTCTGAGGTACACCTCGCCAGTGTCAGGGTTCACTTCAAAGAAGGTCCTCTCCACCAAACTGTCCACTATTTCATAGTTCACTTTGTTGGCTGGAGACTGGAAAAAGCAATATGTAAAATTGTAATAAATCTGCAATACTCTCTCTAGAAGGAGTAGATGGAAGCCGTCTTCTGGGCATTGGGAAGACCATCAGAATTTTTCAAGTGAACATTAACCGGCATCTAATTTTTTCTGCCAAAAGACAGTCAAAAATGGAGAATGGATCAACAAAGATAATTCAGAAGACAGTCAGAAAATATCTCTGGATTCGCCACTTAGAAGCTAGCTAGGTCATGTGCAAATAAATCCTCACTGCACAAAAATATTCTCAGGTAGTGACGTCAAAATCTGTATATATCCAGTGAAACTCTTGTATTTGTGGCTCTGGTAGAGGGAAATAAATGACAAATTGTTAAGTGGGTGCGTTATAGTAACTGCCACCTTGTCTCATATTTTACTGAAATTAATAGCTGTGAAATTCTTCTTGGCAAATTGTTGCTAAAATGCTTTAATGAATCATGTATGTGTTGGTGGATTTGTCATTACATTATTATGAGACTTATGCTATCCAAAATATCAGGTAAGGCAACATCTTGACTTTGAAAGTACACTTGTATTAACACTGTGGATTACACTTACAAATATGAGCATTGTATAATATTGGCCATTTTCTTATTTTTGAAAGTAACAAATAAACATTTCAAAAACAATGAAAATTCAAAACTGAGCTATAATAACACTTACAGTGGTATCTTTATCTGAACCATTGACCTTGTAAAAGGTAATGTATATCCCAAGGGTCTCCAAGATCTGCACGCTATCTGAGAGAGATCGTGGTTCGTCAATAACAGGGGAGTGCAGATTGCGACTGACTGACACAGTAACAACTTGGATAGTACTTTTTTCAGGGGCACCACCGTCATAGGCTCTAACTGCAATCTGGAAATAATAATAATAATAATAATAATAATAATAATAATAATAATAATAATAATAATAATTATAATAACTGACACTTGTCTTCACTTAACAAACCCAACAGTATCAAAAGGAAACCAAATCTTATTGAATCGAATCAACCAAAGTTTTAAAACCAATTTTTATTTACTCACTTTAAAGTCACCAGCTCCCACTCCAGTAAGACTTTCCTTAACAGTGATACGTCCAGTAGTTTCATCAATAGCAAAGTACTGAGGAGATGGAAAGTCACCAACAATCTCATATCGCACAACATTAAATGGTGCCTGCAAATGTAATTTAAATTAAAAGACATGTGAGTTTGTATTTTAAAATGACACTTAGTCTACAAAAAATAAGCTTTCAATCTGTTTTATAATTTGTGTGTAACAATGTAACATTTGAACTCACGGTGACAAAATCGAGTTCGATGAAATGATTAATATCAAGTTTTTATTATTCATCACAGAAAGCTGCATGACAAATAAGGAAGGTAAAAGTAACTCATAAAATTTTGTTGCTAAAAAATGGTGAGATAATGACAATAAGGCATTTCTACCTTGTCATCATCATCTGTGGTATCCACATCAAACACAAATGTCCCTGGGGCTGTGTCTTGAGTCAGATTGGTGGCATAATTAACACCCTGGGTAAATCTCGGGGCGTGCAGGTTACGATGGACTCTCACAGTTACCACAGCAAGATTTGAGCTCTCCTTTGGTGGGTTACCATTGTCAGAACACCTCACAGAAAACTGGAAGTGAAGATTGGTGGACATATGGTTATTGTGGAAAACTAAAGACTTGCAGAGAAAAAGACCTACAAGAACTTGTTTGTCCTTTAGTTGTATATGCAGAAAGAAAATTAATGGTTTTCTACACATGTCTTTTATCTATATGTATTTTCATCTATATATAAAATAGATAAATATATATGCACAGCATTAAGGACAAAAATATTTGAAATATGGGACAGCTATGAAAACTTACACTGTATGTCTCCCTGTCCCCAAGTCTGAGATCTGTCTTTGCATATAATTTCCCAGTTGCTTTATTGATCCCAAAGTAGCTTAGTCCTCCTGGGGTCACCTCCCCAACCAGCTTATACTCCAGCTGTGTCTGTAAGTATGAAAAGTTTGAAAAATAGGAAAAATACTACATTATTCAATTTTTTGGACAAATTACACTCACAGCACATCAACCAGACATGACAGCATTCTTCATGTTATTAAAAGATTACTTTTATCAAAGTAATTGTATTGAATCATTTTCCAGATGTTTATGTAATATAACTTTTCAGGACAAAATGAATAGTACATCAGTCATCACTCTGTTGGTTAGTTTTCTCAATCAGAAATGCAAGATTAAACAAATATGGATGATATTGTGTTTGATGACACTGAGGGGTAAAAAATTAAGGTAGATGATATTAAACAGTTACACATATTTAAAAGGAGACTATAATATGTCATACTTAATCTTTTTGGGGGAATTGTGTTTGTTCAGATTGAGTTAGTTGAGACAAATGAAGTCAGCATTGTGTTAGCTTTAAAACTGTTAAATGTAGGGGTGAAGTTGTATACTTACATTGGTATCCACATCATAACACACTATGTCACCAGGAGATGTTGGGAATTCAGTCATGAGTCCTTGTGTTTCCAAGATGTCTGCCGTGTACTGGGTAATAGCAAACCTTGGTTGGTTCAAGTTCCTGTTTACTAGCACTGTCACAATCCTTGTGTCACGCCTGGGAGGGTAGCCATTATCCACAGCTTCTACACGAATCTATGGGATGATAAATAAAATTAGTTACTGCACAGTAAGAACAATATCATAGCAGTATGATGCCTTTATTGGAAAGCAAATACAAATATCTTAAATGTCTATGCAATGTGACTGTGCAGAAATGTATTTACAAATTTCATGTATATTAAAGTAACATTAAAAAGTGTTTATTTCAAAATCCCATACTTACTTTGGAATTGTGAACATTGAAAAAAAAATTGAATTAAAAGAGATACAACTTATCGTTACATAAAACAAGAAAGATCTGTTGAACATTTACTGCAGGTTATTTTCCAAAAGTATCCTATGTGTTAATACACAGTCAAATCTTTTGATATATCAGTCAAACACATGAAATGACTATCTCAGCACAATACATAAAATGACTCTCAGTGATAGACCCCTGTTTATAAACTTACAGTGTAAACAGAGTTGGTGTCATTATGAATGGTCTCTCTCAAAGTTATAATTCCTGTATTTTCACCAACATGGAAGTAACGAGTTGCAGGCCCATCCCCAATGATGTTGTACGTTAAATGTCCAAAACCATCCTGGAAAGTTCAGCAAAATTTGTTGTACATAGACAGATATTACAAATACCAATTTCAGGATAACAGGTCTTGAGACTCTATACTAATGTCTTGTTTCTTAAAAAATTCTTGCTCCGGGGCTTAAAATATGCCCAAGCCGAAAAAGCAAACATTCTTATATAACATCTTTTTGTCTTTGTCGTCTTTTACTTCATTCATTTGTCTTTGATTCATTTATGGCTTAGTTTTTTTATAATGAGTTAAGCAGTCCAATTATTAACTTTATTTAAGAGCTACGATTTCTACAGATCCTATGTATATTATCTCATGCCTGTGCAGAAACGCCTAGTGTAAAACATACTATAACTCTATATGTATTCAATAATATGTCCTATGATTTAATAAAAATAACAAAATCAGACTACAAATAAAGATGAGAATGAAAATATCCATACAAAGAGTCTAAAATTTAAGTCACTATCTTCTTCTCTTACCGGATCATCTCCATCTGTGGCAGTAACAGTAATAATTCTGACATTGGTGCTGTAATTGTAAGGTATGCTTATGTTCCTTGTTGGGCCAGTGAATCTTGGTGGGTATTTGTTACGCAGCACAGTGACAGACACAGGGACCGTGATTGAGCTATTACGCTGTGGAGAACCTAAGTCTTGTGCACCAATAAATAACTGAAAACCAAATGGTGAGGACAAAGTGAGGAACATAAAATACACATTTAAAAGGATCCTAAACCATGATGACTGTGACGTGTCTCAAGTACAAGTGATCTTACAATGCAGTCATCATAGAATAAAGACCCTTTAAATAAAATTGTTTGAACTGATTCCTTCTTAAATATATAAAAAAATACAAATAGCAAAAACCAGAAAAACTGTTCCATCTATTATCTACTGCTAGGGAAAAATGTAGATACCAAATAAATAATGCTCACAATCATAATGTGATATCAAGATTTAAAAAAACAACAACATTTCATTAAAATGCTGGTTGAAGCATATTTAAGCAGTATTATAAAGAATTTAAACGTTAAGATCTGTGGAAGCAAAAATCTTATATATCCACATCCACATAGTGATTAATGAAAGTGTCATGTAACACAGACACAAGAATCATAAATGATAACATCAATAATAAGAAAGAAAATGATGCAATTATCTTCAAAGTGATAGTGACATGCAAAATACACTAGAACATAATTATTGACACTGTGAAGCAAAATACAAGGACAATGCTTTTCTTAAATTGAAGATGAAATCTTACTGCATCTGCATCATCCTCCTGCGGCTTTAATGTGAAATAAACAACTTTAATTAAGTATAATGTATAATAAACAATGTATCAAAGAAGACGCTATCTCTTACTTGACTGGCTTGAGATGAAAATCAGTGTGAAAAAAATCAACTGCACTGAACATTTCTATCTCAAGTCAAAATTCAGAGACAGAGTCATCCTTATTAATTATTACAGTATAATTTCTCCATCTTACATTGTAAATGTCAGTTTTACTTGGGTCCAAAACCAAAGCCTGCTTGACGTAAATCTGACCAGAGTCTGGACGTACACCAAAATATTCCTTTGCCTTGTCATTCCCAACTAAGAAGTATCTGACTGTATTATGTGGTGGCTGGGATGGTGAAAAGAACAAAACATTTATTCAAAACAATCATGCTCTGAGTCTAAACAGATATCATCCATTGACTGGCAATTAAATTGCTTTCTTATTCATTTTCAAAATTCTGAACTTTTCTGTATTAATAGCATGAACGAATGTGCGAATCAGTTAATTCTTTAATTAGGCAGAGAGAAGTTATATTTTGTATTTATTTTTTAATATAAATAAGATTTGCCATCAAAATATAATCAACTGAATGAAGGAATGAATGATGAATAAGTGTGATTGGTTTGTCCTATCTCCAACTATTAATAACAAGTCTGTGTCATAATTTAAGGCAAATAATGTTGAATATGTATGAAGATATTGTGTAGTTGTATTTTTTGGTTTATGTTACATGCTGTTTGTCTTGATTTAAATCAAGTATTAAGGTATATAATAGCACACCAATTATTATGGAGGTGATTGTGCCAAGTTGCACCTGCAGGCCACCGTACCTGTAGGCCACCATACCATACCTGTGGGTCCTCATCAATAGCATGCACCTGTCCAATGCCAACCCCCAGAGTTTGTGTCTCTAAGATTCTGAAATCCCAGGAAGACTGGTTGAACACTGGGGCCTTGAAATTTCTGTTAACAGTCACTTTAACAATGGCAGTGGCTGTGCGTGGAGGATTGCCATTATCCCGTGCAATCACACGAACGTTGTACACATCTGTGGGATCCCTGCCAAGGTTATTCTTTATCCGTATCATACCTGTTACTGGGTTGATAGAGAAATACTGAGCTGCAGTGCCATCTCCTATGATTTCATACCTGATAACATTGTGAGCATTCTAGAAAGAAAAAATACATGATGATCATTGTCTTAAAATTTTGATTACAAAAAAAAAAAACAGTAGTTATGTTTGTAGACAAGAAGTATGGAAATACAAGGATCTGAGTCATACAACTATTTGCATAAAGCCTAAAAAGAAAGTAAGCATATAACTATTTATAATGATGTTGTGGGATTACAAAGATACCTTTTCACCAAAAGCAAATGACCATCCTGAAATTTCAATGTATTATCTTGTATTCTGTCTCAACTATAAAGGTAACATTATTGATTTTCACCTTCAACATATGACTTACATCAGGATCTCTATCAGTTGCATTGACAAGAACCACAGTAGTCCCTATGACTGCATTTTGGTTCACCGTCTTTGCATATTGGCCAGGGAAGAAGATTGGTGCATGCGAGTTACGTTTCACTTCGACTCGTACTGGGACAGGGGTGCTGGTTTTACGCTGGGGTTGCCCACGATCACGAGCAACAACATAGAACTGAGGACAGAAACCAATTTGCAAATTAATCATATGGATTAAAAAATTACAACCTACTATCTCACACATCACTCTTATTCATAATGCATGTGATAGAATTTTCTTTTATCTTATTTTTAAAGAAATAAATCTTAAATATGAACATGTGTGGTTTTTGTTTAACAGTGAAGATGTCTCAATGCAATTCATGACAGTGGATTTTAAATGTAACATAAAATAAAAAATAATTTTGCATAAAATAATTATTTCATAAATTCTTGAAGTACACATCGGTAAAATACTATAAAACTTTCAATCTGTATACCTTGTTACGTAGGTATTGTAATGATTCAAACTCACAAAAAACACTGTCCTATTGTAAGGATCTGTGGCCAGTGATTTCCTCAAACTGATCTCCCCAGTGTATTTGTCCACATAGAAGTAGTCTCCAGCATCCGGAGAGACCTGATTACCATTGTTCTGACCAGTGGACCCTTGGTTACCGCCTGTATACAGGTAGTATTCTACCTCATTGTGAGGAGCCTGTAATGTTGAATCATAGACTTTTAACATTATTTAAAACTGAGCACTTGGGAGAATTCAAAAATGTGAGGGTTTGTCTATTTGTTGAGACGTGTGTGAGCAATGAACAGCAAAACATAAATCAAATAACTTAACATTTTGCAGTCTCAAAATTGACATTTTATGCTTGGAGGGCTCCCAAATAATAAGTAGAGATTTCTCCAAGAACACAATCTGCTCAAACCTACCAATACGTCTTCATCAATAGCTAAAAGGTTGATGAAAGGCTCTCCCAGAGGTTTGTTGTCAACCACTTGTGCTGGATACACAAATCGCTGAAACACGGGTGCTTTCAAGTTTCTGTTGACCGTCACGGTGACTGTTCCTGTACCTGTGCGACCGCCGCCATCTGTTGCCAATACTCTTAGCTTAAAGTCAGAAATTATGAAAGAGATTATTACTTTGAAAATTTACTTGGTAAGAACTGAGATATAGTCTTAACCATGGTTACTCAATTTGTCTTATTTTCATGTTCAGGAATATTGTTCAGAAATGCCATTACATAAAACTACCAGAATGTCACAAGTATTATAATTGTAATAAACTTATTTGTCCATGTATATATGCAACAACCCAAAACAAAATGGCACAAAAAATTAACCGAAAATATTATAAAGGCAGAAATAAAATTCAATAAAAAAATAGTTAAGCTTTAATCCTACCAAAGATGAAAGTGACAGTGTAACAAGTCATTCATTTAAGAATACATTCTTTTTCTTAATAACTATAGCAAGTCAGGAGTGACAGCATCAAGTTGACATTAAATGCCACACTTAATGTGGGGTACAGTGGTACCCTCCTCAACTCACCGTGTATGTCAAAGCAGAATCTGTTGTCAGGCTTTTTGACACAGTAATCCTCCCAGTGTCACTGATATCAAACAGATCCATGGCCTTCCCGTCTCCGATGATGGAATATTTCAGTGATCTGAACTCGGGCTGGCATTAAATAAATATAAAAATTTTAATTGAAAAGAGAAGGTAACTCATACTGTGGGGCCATTTACCACCTGGTATAACAATAATAATATTTATTATTATTATTATTATTATTATTATTATTATTATTATTATTATTATTATTATTATTTCTATCCTAAACAATGTGTATTGCACATCAGGCAAAAACTTGAAGTCTTTTCTTAATAATTCACACCATAATTTCCAAAAATTTGCCAATATGCCTGTTGTTGTTTGCTTCAAGATGCTCTGGCTCCTTGTGATTTGGTGGTCACCTACTATTGGTGCTACAGTAAGCCAACAAAACAAGACATAAATGTGCTTTAAGAATGGAAATCACTCACCCGTGTATCCAAATCTGTGGCTGGCATTGTACGCAGTAGTGTTCCGACATCCACCGAGTGACTGATGCTTGCTCCCACTGAGGATGGGTTGAACGCTGGGTCGTGCATATTTCTGATTATTGTAACTGTGGCTGTTACGGTGGCTGACTGAGGTGGCTGTGCTGTGTCTGAAGCACTTATGACAACCTGAAAAAAAAAAAACACAATTACTGTGAACTAAATTTAAAATATGACATAAAATTATCATTAATTTCTGTCATTAAAACATGATAAAGGTGCTTTAAAAATAAATATATTTGAATATTCAAGATATTATGAATTCATCCATAGGAGCTTTTTCTGTGAAAAAAGGGACAACTTTGTACTAACAGGCATCTTAAATATAATACCTATCATAATGAAAGAAACATTACCCGGAAATTAGACACAGATCTATCCCTGGCCAGGTTGGTCTTTGTCTTGAGATCTCCACTCTCAGAGTCCATAAAAAACAGTGCTGAGCCACTGCTGGGAGAGACACTAACAATACGGTAATAAAGACCATATGGACCCTGGAGAAAAGAGCAGAAGAATGGCAAATCTTGCTTTGGCTGCATATAAAACACAATTTAAAACTAAAAGACTTGAACAAATGCTTTCTTTGATTCATTGTTTTATCATAATGGTAGGTTGTGTTAGAGGTATAGTTGAAAAAACAACAATGGAAGTATTAGTGATATCTTCACAAGGTACACTGCTTTTTATGATTTTTTTATCTATTTAAAGATACATGGCAATGGGCATTGTACCTATTATAAAGCTACCTGTACAAAACTAAAATTCAATTCTCCTTGGAATTTCAACACTAAAATTGCTGAAACTAATGAGTTTGCAATATAAAGGTCTAAACCCCCCCTCCCATTGTATGGTAAGATTGTTACGAGTTCTCTGGAAATCTAAGGCCCATGTAATTAGTGTACGTACAGGGTCAGGATCAGAGGCGGATACTCTGAGAATGGAATGTCCCAGGTCCACATTCTCCAACACTTCTGCATTCAAGTTCTGCCCATCAAAGGTAGGGGGGCTGTCGTTCTGATCCTGTGCAGGGAATAAAACAGATGCTTCAGTTAATTTTTCATAAGTGAATTTGTCCCACTTCATAAAAACTTAATTATTATCAATAATCATATTTTTGTATGTGCAACTGACAACAATTAAGAATGTTTATTACAGAGGCACTTTTTTCAGAATGAAACATACCAAAAACAATGCTGTTCTCATTAATTCAATAGCTCTGATTATGAAACAAAAAGAACATTTTCTTTTCCCAGTTTCTGACAGCTTATAACACAGCAACTGAACCATATTCTGGAGCAAATAACACCACACTGTGATTAGCTGTTTGGGAAAGTACATGTAACGGTTGGCACATTCAAGAGCCAAAAGCACACACTTACCACTACATTCACATTCACAGTGGCCGAGCTGGATGGTCCGCCATTTTCCCCCTGGACAGTGGTCACCACTAGCTGGTACCTAGGGGTTGCCTCATAGTTCAGAACAGCATTGGTGGTAATACGACCAGTGGAGGGGTCAAGGACAAAGCGGTTGGCCTCATTGCCACTGACAAACTTGTAGGTAATACCAGATGAGCCAATAGCCTGAAAAAGAGGCAAGTAAAGGTGATTGGCACTAATGAGGGATAGAGTTACATGTAACAAATCAAAATTATTGAAAAGGCAAACTAAGATTGTTTAATTAATTGCACTAAACAATATGAATAGTATATACTTTTAAATTTCCATTTTGCTTGTTCATTCTGTTTAAGTTAAATTTTCACTTAATTCATAAACAAATTCACTCAAATATAATTTCAATCTTTTTCACCAAAATAGAGTTGAATTTCTATTCTTTATTGAGCCATCATATACTTACAGCCACTGTTGTAACAATAGTTCCTACTGGCTTATTCTCCAACACCTGGACAGAGAGATTCAATGGTGGCACAAATGTTGGCGTAGAGTCCTGTAAATCAATGACGTTCACAGTGACAGGCAGCACACTCTTGCGACTGACCAATCCATGGTCTTCTGCTGTCACAACAAAATTGTGGACATTGGCCATCTCGAAGTCCAAAGGCTGGGAGGTGGAAATGACACCATCTTCAGTGATTGTGAAGTATCTAGAAATAAACAGAAACTTTGTTACAAAAGTAATCTCTGACAACCCCTCTGCAGAAAGCTCTCAAGCTCAGATGAGCTAGAATGACCATCTGTGCAGCTAGAATAATCTATAATTCCATATAAATTTTACTGTTGAATATATTAAACAATCTAAAAAATACATTGATAAACTGGTAAAAAATTTAAACATTTTTCTAGACAAATATTATTGTTTTACTTATTTTTGGCCATTGAAGTGAATTTAACCACATTTCAAAAGCATTTTAAGTTAGGTATAAGTTAAAGGCAGAATGAATCAGTATTTGATATAAATTACAGGAAAGACCATACATCATTCCAAGAATAAAAAGACTGCTTAATTTTACCAACTGGCAACCCATAAAACACTGCTAGAAAATGACACCATACTAAAAAACAATTATAACTTAATTTTTTTTAATTTATTTCTTATATTTTCCTTATTATTATGACTCACGGATTTGCTGGAATCCTGTATGTCACTCTTCCATTCTCTCCTGCATCTTCATCATTTGCCTAAAGACAAAATTGATGAAAAAATTAAAATATTTTACATTTTTTCCTAAAGGCAAAACAAAAACTATATATTCCTTTAATCTGCACCAATTATATTCATGCTCACAACAAATTAAAATCCAAAAGCTTAATAGAAAGCTTTCAGCCATGTATCAAGACCTTGTTCACTTTGTAAACTAAATAATATGTATAAACTGTGTTTTAGTGTTGGTTTATACACAATCACATACTGATTTCTGATGACACAATGAAGAAATATCAGTGTTAACCACTTTTTCTAATCAGAAACAATTAATACTTTACCCGTATAGTTCCAACCCTGACAGGTGGTGGCTGCCCCTCCCTCACACTGAATACCCTAGGAGAGACCCCCAGGAAAACTGGATTGTTGTCATTAATATCTGTGACATTTATGTTCAGAGTCGTGGTAGCAATCTGAAGAAAAAAATTTGATCACTTAAATATCTTTTTTCAGTTTTTACAAAAATAAATTATAAATAACCTGAATAAATACTTTTTTCGCTAACTGATTTAAAGCAAAATCTATCTGAAAGGTACATTTTTCTGTTAACATAACACAAAGAAGAAACCAATGGAACTTGTCCAAAACTCTTTTATTTTAAAAGTATTGTAATTATATGCATGTCAGTAACTACAGTTCCAACAGCAACTGCATATTTATAGGAAACAGTACCCCCCCCCCCCAGTTGATTAAAATCATTTTCAATACTTATTAATGCAAAAAAGGTAAAATCTCCACTGCATTAACTGTTTTAAAAAATAAAATCTGAAATGGTAAATCACTCACATTTCCACTATTATCTTCTGCCTTCAGGACCAAAGTGTATCTTGAAACTGTTTCTCTATCAAGTGGCTGGCTGTTTCGAACTATACCCCCCAGATATGCACTGAAATGAAGAACAGAACTAATATCATTTACATCTACCAACCATCACACTTCAAAATCGTAAAAGGAGGCTATTAATGCTACGTTATCAGTTATACTCCTTATGAATTGCAGATTTCTACTGCTACTCTGTATGTCACCAGATTTTCTGTTTAACATATCATGATATATGTAGAACTTTTTAGGTACGTACTTGGAAGCATCAATCGTAAACATGTTGCCTGTGTTTCCACTCAAGATGGAGAACCTTAGCCTATCGTTATTTGGGTGTGATGCCTAACAATAGAAGAGGAAAATAGTAAAACACATATTCTGGTATTGAAATGTACTAAGTGTAGTGTATAAATTTTTTAACAAAATAATCTTAAAATTCTCAAGTGCACTCTTGAAAATCTTGATGTTGAATATTTCAAGCCATGATTATTTGTTCCATTCCCCATTTTTATATAATGGCTTCATTGTGCTAGTTGTGACAATTCTACAATGCGTTTGGATGTTCTTCAACTCTTACTGTGTTGAGTGTAACACAGCCATACTTACTGGGGCCTGGAAGATGTTGGAATTAACCAGAACACCCTCACTGACTGCAATATTGTACTCTGAGCTGGAGAAAGATGGCCGCCCATCACTTCTGGTGTCATTTACAAACACCATCACAATAGCATTGGCAGTACTGGAATAGAGAAAAAAATTGTTAACCACTTACTGTGCAATTCAATGCCAATTCCATTTCTTTTTATGTGCTACTTCGTGCTCATAATAAAAAAACAGAATTAAGATTGGACAACCAACAAAAATGACACTGGTTTAGATGGCTTGGTTTTTAGATGGTGGAATCCATCTTACAAAATGGATCATCCTTCACTTCTGACATCAGATGCAGTCTCCAAAAATCAAACCATTCATTTAACAGTACACAATTGTTTTTCTTTAAAAAGACCTAAAAGCCTGTCCACACACTTCCGCATAGCTTCTATCACATTGCATTAAACAATAAGTTAGTGTTAATTACTGTGAAAATATGCCTTAATCTCTTTCTGTGTTGTATCATTCTGTTAACAATAAACTCACTTTCTGTCTGCTGGGTTTGGCGCATTATCAGAGGCCTGTACTGTGAGTACATATGGTGCCAAGCTTGGGGACAGCTCTGCCTGGGTATTGATGTGACCAGTGTTGGGGTTGATACGGAAGGAAGACTGGAACCCATTGTCCTCGGACAATATGGAGTATGTCACACGCCCACTTTCACCGCTATCGCCATCAGTTGCAACGACCTACAGATACAACGAGTTACTGCTGTTATAAGCAAGAATAGCATAAAAAGGGTTATTCCACCCTATTTTAGCATGACTATTGCCCCTTATATTACCATCCAAAAGTATCAAAAGAATGTAACAAGGTGTATCTACCTGGTACATGCTCAGACACAGCTCTTCAGTAGAGTAACCTAACTGATTGTTCAATTTCCATAAAAATCATGCCATATTTACCAATCAGTAACAAAAACATAATATATCTATACCTGGACCACAGGAACAGAAACAGGTGTCTTCTGTACAGTAGCACGGTAGATGTTACTCTCAAATACAGGGCTGTTGTCGTTGGCATCTCTGATATTAACAGTCACAGGCACAGTGCTTGATCTTTGCTCTGCTGTATCTGCCTCTGTTACAGTTACCTGGTATGTAATCATAATGACATGTTAATAAGTCTATATCTTCATATTTCATTCAAACTAATGAGAGACCAGAATTTCTGTTTTAAGTCTAGCTCTTAGTGCATGACTGCACCTCACAGACAAAGACAAATAAATACAAATATCAAAACTCCTGGCCTATTTTAATTAATTACCCAAACCACAAGGCAAAATATATCAACTTCAAAATGCACCACCAAGTGAAGATATGATAACCCCTGACAGTTCAAACCTTAATTAGAAGCAAGCACTTACAGTAAATGTGACTTGTTGCTGCTCTTCATAGTCCAGTGCTCCAGCCACTGTTACAACCCCCTGATCATTCACTGTGAATGCTCCAGTGCCAGACACTGTGTAAATGTAGTTCTGAGGGGGGTCACCAGGAGCCTGTAAAAAACAAAGAACATTGGGAACTGTAGAAAATTAAGAATATATATTGTGATGAAGAGAGGGAAAGCACTAGGTTTTTAGAGAAAAGCAAAAAAAAAAAAAAAATGTGTAACAGTGGTAAACTGTATGAAACAGTCAGTATTGTTGCAGAACAAAAAAATGAAATTTACATAAAGTATAATATGATGAACAGACACAAGGAATTTAGAGACTCATATCAAAATCAAAATAGCGCACACACACACACACACACACACACACACACACACACACACACACACACACACACACACACACACACACACACACACACACACACACACACACACAGTATAAAAAATTTAATGCATGTGCATCTAAGCACCTAATGTGTCTGTCTATTATCACTGAACATGTATTCCATATTTTGTGCCTGGACTTACCAAATCCAGATCAGTGACCACCAGCTGCAAATCCCGTGTACCCGCAGAATTTTTAACTCTTGTTCCCACAGGCGCCACTTCACTGACGTACCCTATGAATGAGCCATAGGAACTAGTTATACTTGGTGGGTTGACGTTCACTGTACCAACAGATATGGTCAGAGTGGCTGTCTCATAGCGCTTGTTCAGTGAGTCTTCCTCAGCCTAAGATAGGATGCAGTACATGTTATAATATGAGGCAGATTAAAATTTAAGTTATAATAATGGTAATGATTATAAATAAGAACTAATATTAACATTTATGCTTGATACATGTTAAACAGCAAAAGAAGCAAAATGTTTTGAGTGGAATATAAGACATGTATAAGATGCTTTTGCTGCTTATGTAATATATTGGGTAAGAAATAAGTAAAGCTTGTGTATAGAAGGCTGGCGCATTTACTTAACATATTGACATTGTAAGCAATTAATTACCTTGACAGTAATCTCAAACTCTTTGACAAAGAAGTGACTGACAGGCAGCAACTGGCGAACTGACCCAGTATTTTGGTCAATTTGAAAGTAAGAGCTGTAGTTACTAGGTGTGCCTGAAAAAAAAACAAGATAAATTTTTATCAAATATCTTAAGTATTCATCATGTAATTCTTCTACAGACAAAGAGTTATACTGAAACAGTACTTTATACAGTATTTATATCTTACTACATTTACATAGGTATATTGGTATTAGCAGTCTTATGAAAACAAAACTAGTTAACCTATGCAAGAAAGAGAAATATCTAAGATATTTTTTTCAATGCATAATTATTATCATTAAATAAACTGAAATTGTTACCAGACTTACCATCCACAAAGGAGTATTTTATAGAATTATCAATCATTTTGTCTCTGTCTACAGCTACTATAGGTTCTGGTTCAATGTTCAAAACACCAGGAGTCTGAAAGAGAAAGTTCAATCATTTTGTCATATTGTGGTAGATGAGACTGCTGAATGTGCTGATGTGTTAGGCAAAATGGCAGACAGCGGGTGTCACTGTGTCTGGGAGAATGTTAACAAAATATTGGCAATTACATCACATACTGATTTAAGCTACAAAAACTTTAAAAATAACTAAAAACAAACTCCTATCTCTGTTAAGTGTTTTTGAAATCAGAGAAAGGGTAAATGAGAAAAGGCAGTTAACAAAATGCAACATATATTTCTTAGTTTACTGAAAACATTGTAGGTTACTTATAAAGGCGTCCGATATTATCTTGTAGAAAGAAAACTGACTGGTTAATAAAAAATCCAATCTACCTCATTCAATTAATAATGTACAGCTACCGAATTTGCTCAATTCAATATTTTCAGACAAAGTATCACAACTTATTTTTGAAAAGGGAAGAATTATGCTTCTTTCTACAACTAACTACTTAAAGAAGCAGATTTGAATAATTACCACCCGGTTGTTGAGAACTCTGGCAGTATACTGTGGATTAATACACAGGTCTCCATATGCCACACAGCCAGCATAGGTAAACACAGGTGGCAGGTCATCGCCATCTAGTATGGTGATATTCAGGGTAGCATATGCCACTCGGGATGGCTGCCCTTTGTCCTGAAAGAAAAATTAGCATATGAATAATATGTAATGCTTCTTGATCAAAAGGCATGGCTGTAAGTCAAGGAAGTAAAATATGTGAGAATTGCTTTAAGTTTTTAGTGAAGTGTAAGAGAAATGTGACAATGGAAATGGGCATTACAGTTTATTCAGTTTTGTTTCAAATTAACACAATAAAGATTATTTAAACATGACAACTACAAAGCAACAGGCAAATGAAATACATATGACGTGTTATTGTGGCAACATGAGTTTTAAAAGTGTATTAAATTACTGAATAAAATAATAATAAAAAGATTGACCCAGAGAAAAATGCATTTCAAAGTGGCAGTGTAAAGAACTAAAAAACAGTAAATAACAAGTTAACTTACCAATACCTGTTGCTTTAAAAATAACAGATAGCAATGTAAACTAGCAAATCAAACAATAAAAAACTGAAAAAATATCATTTTTTACAATAACAGATTTCTATTTCACTGATCCATCTCATTTCAGATCCTATGGACAGATTCTTAAAAACATGCCTCTTTGAATCCTAACCATGTCAAGAATCCATTCAATCTACTTAGAATTGTAATCTGCACAATGAATAATTAACCTTACCCTGGCAGAAATCCTGACCAGATAGTATGGACTGACCATGCTCTCATAGTCCAGAGGCTCTCTTACTCTGACCTGCCCTTGACGAGGCAGAGTGATGATGAAGTAATTGAAACCATCATTCTGGAAAACAGCACAAAAAGTATTGACTTTGGACATTGGAATATTAACAAATATCCATCCCACCAGTGCCATGTAAAGCACTGACCGCAAATCACTTTTTAAATGAAATTAGTAGGATTTCATGTACATTGTATTACAAGAATTTCTGTCTACCTTTGAAACTTTTTAATTCTTAAATCTATCCTTGTTATGTATCAGATGCTATTTGGGTGGTATGAGTTAAAGGAACTGTTCTTTCAGTCATGAAAATTTGACTAAAAATTTTATATTCTCCTAGGTTCTAACCAAATTCTCAGGTTGAGTCAACAAAGATGAACTTTATTCCCCTTTTGGAACTACTGGCTACAGGCCTGCTATTAACTACAAGAAGTATCAATAATCAAACACTTACAGGTCCACCATCTCCCTGTTCCACTTTAAAATCCACTTCCTTGTTGTCTAAAGCATCTCTATCTGTGGCAGAGATTTTGTTGTAGATTTCTGAGCCAACAGGAGACAACTGAAACAGACAGCAGTAAATTATTCACTTTGCTCTAATGGGCCCTATAAACATAAAGGTGCTACTTATTTCATATATTGCTATATGAGCCCTTTATCTTTTTCAATAGGAGAGTTTCTAGCTAACTCCCAACCATATCAAATATAACATTACTACAATTTCACCAAATACTGAAGATAATATGCTTTGGCTTATGAAAACAAAATGTACAATTTCTTGTCAATTCATCCCTGATACAAGTTAACAATTAGGCAAATACAAAAAACCAACCAATCCTCAGGGTATCTTTAGCTCTGTAATTTGAATACAGTACTCACTTCACTAATAGATACTTTATATCCCCCAAATGGTATCTTAAACTCTGGTGCATTGTCATTTTTATCTAAAATAGTCATGTGTGTTACATATATTGTGGCTTCTCCCTGAAATTGAAAAAACTTTAGGTTAAAGTTTGGAATAAGCTACAAGGACTTAAGAAATTATGTCAGATAAAAAATAATAACCAATGTTTCTCAAACTCTTCAAAATTTAGAAGATTATACAAATTTATCAAAATCAATATCTAATCAAAAACTAGTATTTTATAACTCAAATAATTATCTTAAACAAATCTTAAGGAATTAATATTTGCTTTAATATGAATTGAATTTAATATAAACACTGCTTAACTTGCATTTTTGCCCGACCTAAAAAAGTTATTTTAAGTCTGCATTTACTTGTTACTTTATCTCACAAGCCAAAAATCACAAACCATTTCATCTTACCTGTGTGGGGGTACACTTAATGTGAAATTCTATTAAATCTACATCATCTTTGGTGTCTGCACTACTACCCTGAAAAATGTACCAAAATTCCATTAGCTCAACAAACTATATTAATTTTCAAATTGATTTAAAAAAAACTGAAAACTGTTGTGGCAACATGAATGAAAATTGCCAATAACACATTAAGAAAAAGATGAAAGTTCATCAATTAAGTGACAGGATATTGGCATAAAGCAAAAGCAAATAATAATAATAATAATACTGATAAATGAAATAATTAAATAAATGACACAGAGAACAGGAATATGTTAGGTGTGCCAGTGTTTCAAAGAATGTATTGGATGTGCCAGCCACACATGTAGAATAGTGTGTTAGCTGAGTAAGTGTTTTCACTGGTCATTTTTTCTTACATCTCTATCTATAGGTCTTTTTAGCCTAATTCTGTTCTGTCCTCCAGCATACTCCACAGCGAAGTAATCGTTGACATCATTTACATGCTTCGTTTTGGCAGAATTTTCCAGAACGAGCTGCATATTTTGTCCATGAGCCCCATACAGCTGGATTTCATCATAGTAGTCTGAACTAAATACATTCAGCTCTGAAGGCAAATATAGAGAGAGAGAGCACAGGATTACAACCCAATCAATTCCCTTTTTGAGAAATCAAATGTGGAAACCTCTTTTTAACGGAAATATACACAGTTTCGAAAATATCAAAAATGGAAAAAAATAATATCTTCCCTTTAATTTGGCTAAAGAATCTAACAGTAAAATTTTTGCTTTCCTGGACAAAAACACAAAAAAATCCTTTAAAGAAGTTCACATCTATCTCAACATTCATGCCTTTCTTTCCCCAGCCCACTTACCATCAGCTGTGGCTTCATATACTTGAACTCTTAGCACCAGGTTTTCACCCTGGCCTGCCGCACTACCTTTGGCTGTGCATGCTGAAAACAAAGATAACTTCAAATAAGCATTCAACAAAGAATATACAGGGGGGTGGGGCTTCGAAAGAACCATGTCTAGAAAAGATGTTCTGGATCAAAATCGATCTAGGTTCTATTTCATTTCTCAAATTTGATTAAATAAAGAGGTGAAAGGATCAATTTTTTTCGAAAAAAACCTCCCTTTGAAATTGCTTCCACAGCACTTTCCTTAATATTGCTTGAAATTATGACCCTTCTGCATTTACATAAGCATGATCATTTTTCCTGTAAAAGGTTAACTATGGATACACTATTTGTTTAATTCTATATTCAAAACAGGTCAATTAATGCAACTTTACATACACAATAACGAAAGGGTACAACTATTGGCATAACAATTTTAGGTCGAAATTTAAAAATAAACTGTTTAAAAAATATAGCAAATGCATTTTTGTCACATATATCACAGGTGACTTCCCTTCTTTTTCACAGTAGCTATTTTTATCCAATAACAATTGATACCTGTCAGAATCTGTTTCATGTTTATATATATAGCTTTAACCCTCAATATGTTTCACCATCAATTCATATCAGACTGGGTCAGCTGAGACAGACAAGTAATGCACCACATTATTTACGCCCCACTGATTTCATGCATGATGAGCTTTCTTATGCCATGTTGCAGTAACATGTGTTATATACCCAAATATTTAACACAAAATTTACAATTTCGGGTTAATGAAGTTGTGTAGGCTAATCTCTGATACTGGCATTTACTTCTGCTTACCGAAAAACATCAGAAGTTAATGTAATATATTTTTTTAGAAATTTAAATGCAATTAAAGGTAATTTTTTAAATTTTGATGAATACTTCTCTTTCTTTTTATATTAAATGAAACTTAAATAGAGTCATTGCAATGCAACAAAATTTGAACAAAAAACTTAAGTTGATATTAGTGTGAATTTTCATATTTTGTATTAATTTTGAATTAAATTTGAGCCAATAACTGCATTCTTTGTCAATTAGTCATGCAACAAATGGGTTTGCTGCCCTAGCTATAAACACCTTTTTATAAAAGGGGTGCAAGTCTCTGCAGTCATTAACATAAGTATATTTGCTATCATTTCAACAAAGGGGTGTAAAATATTCCACAGATGTGGTTAATTTTACTTCATTTAAGACATCAACATTAGTCATTACCTGTCGCTACCTGTCTTTGAAGTCTTGAAGAGTATTTTTTCCACTTTAAAAGGGGGTATGAATTTTAGTTGTGTTAAATATTCAAAATATGACACAGATGAGGGGCCATTTAATGATGTTTTGCAAACTTGTTCACAGAGTATGGAACAATTAAGACTGGGTTATTTTGGAAGCTCATGATGGCCCAAGCAATAAACATGAAATATAAGATATACTTAAAATGATTTTCTTATTTATTAATTCAGTGAGCTAATGTTAGAAGAACTTAATGACCTGCCTAACTCTGTTCTTTAGAGAAAATGACATCCAATAATGCCAATCACATGTGGTAAAAAAAAAAACAGTATTCATAACAGACATTTACGTTTCATATATATAGGAAATTTAGGCGTGAACAAGTTAATCAATTCTATCAATAGTTCCTCCGGAATTATTTAATACATTACATCAGATCTTACATCAGAACTTGCAAAAACAAAAACCCATCTAAATTTAAATGATTTTTCCTCATTTTTAAGCAAATATTCTTTTGCAATAAAGATACCTGTAAGTATGAATTTGAAAGTCTTTTGAATGCCATAAAATTTTGCCTCCCCCCCCTCCAAATTAAGTATTAAATGCTTTTCAAATATGAAATACTATCATGTCCTCTCCCTAAAAAATTATGTGCTGAGAATAATTTCCTGTTGAAATAATAACTAGAAAACACCCCTCTCCTGGCTCTCTAACCATTTGTCTACCTGAGGTTGATAAAAAAAGAATTTAAATGCAGAGCATGATTGTCTTGTCTATATCTATAGTATATCAAGGTAAGTGCATGATGCTCTTTCAAAGATGAATTCAAAGCAAATAGGTCAAAGTATTCAAGATTTGCAAACAGAACTAGCTTTTTGCTTTCTGTTTATTTGTATAGTACAAGTAGCTCCTGTTGCATAAAAAACTGTTAGAAGACTTTTAATATCTAAATGAGCTAAAATTGAGGCTGTGTGGGGTCAAGTCTAACTTGAATGATTTGGCCTTTAAACAAATACAATATGATAAAGCAATAATTGTGGTGTCTATAGAAGCTCAAGCTTGCTCTGCTGTCTATTTGCTGATGGTCTTACAGGTTGGCTATAAAGACCTACACACTTTCGCATATACATACTTAAAACAAAACCTAAAAAGTGGAAATACATGTATTAAAACCCTCCAAAACCTTCACTTGTTACATAACTGCAGAAAACAAATGACCTGAGTTGCATGTCTCAGCATCAGCTTAATTCTGTGTATGTCCAGTATCCAGGATTGGTTAGAGCTTGGTGAAAATATCTATAGCATTCAAATGCCAAAACATTTTTACATTTCTACATAATCCTCACTGAATACATTGTACTATAGGATATATTTGCAAAAACTAATGCCTGAGTGGACTGTGAAAATCATTACAGGCAGTCTCATCAGCACCAATGTGAGAGTAAAAAAGCAATAACTTAATTGTTCTTCAATACAAACAGTTATTGTTATTTTTAAAGACAACCCTTTTGCCAAGATGTATTTCTTGCCAATAAGGAATGATAAATCACAAATAATCCATATGGTCTAATAACATCATATAAGAGACCATATTAGCCCACAGATCATATTCAGATATAAATCCACAGCAGCAGGTATAACTTAGAAATTTAAATCACTTCCACTGTAACAGTAGTCTTAATAATCATAAAATCACTTTCTGCTTTGGATCAATAAAAAAAGAAACTCAATGTACCAAGAAACATTGGCAACAAACAATAGTTATTATTTTTTCTACTTACGAGTTATTTGTGCTAAGATATGGTTTGGTAATAGTATTAGCAGAAGAAGCAGCGTCCATTTTGTTGCTGTCTGTATGTTGGGCATCTTCACCGACCCCATCAACGCTCGGTGCTTCTTGGCCTAGAATAAAGAAATAGACATTTTAGAAATAATGTTTAAAAAGTCTATCACAGATGATGGACATTGTAATTATCTACTCTTAGAACAAGTACTTTAATCATATTTAGTATAAACATGCAAGACTACTAGATATTAAACAATCCTCTGTAATTTTGCAAACCTTGGTAAAAAAATTCTGAAATTAATTACCAAAAGTATAACTTATCTTAAATACTTTAATGAAAATAATATCTTTTGTTAATTACCTGCAAAATACATCAGTACCATACTTTAGCACCCATAGTGGTGTATATACAAAGTTAAATAGCCGTGAAAATTCAAATCGCATAGCATAATGCACTCTCTTATATATGTGAAGTCACATATATTTATATATACATTTGTCCTTGAATTGTCACCAATGGAACTAGTTATAAATACAACATGAATACTATGGCAGCACCAGTTAGATGGGAAGTTATGCCACAAGACCAAATAATGACACTCTTTAGTGTATCAAAATGTTCTGAGTATATAAACAAATGGACATCATTCTTGTCATTACATCAGGCCATTCATTCCTTTGCCGATTCCATAGTATAACTGACAACAGGCATCCAAATCAGCACCAAATTTAATCCACTGCCCCATGAAATGTAATCCACATTTCTTAAAACCTCCAGTTCTGTATTAATATTAACTGTAGAATTACATGACTCAAAGTAGCCACCAAAAATCTCCTATTCCTCTGTATCAAGACAGCATGAGGAATGTTGTTATACATGTATATCTTTCTGGAAGCATGTTGGCCGAAGTGCGTTAATCATCGCAAAAATCTTGCCTCAGTCCCATAACCACCCCACCACAGACTAGTTATCTGGATAAAACTGTCCCTTGAGTCAAATTCCAAATTGATTAAAAAGGCAAGTTATATATCGTGACTGTTTATAGCAGTGGATATATCAATGGGGCATGTACAGTAGTACTGAAACTATATGGGTGGTTGTAACTTCAAGCCCATTTCTTCAGAAAATCTGATGGCCTCCTTGCATGTTTTCTCCCAGCCATCTAATCTCCTGGGGACGTGTTTGTAATCAGAGTGGCAGTTACATTATACATTGTATGGCCAAGAAATTATCGATCAGGACCCAACCCTGGATGTGTGGTAAAAGTGATGATCCAAGTAAGACCTTTCTGGTAAAAGTTGGACACACCCTTATCCCTGAGATCATTTAAGTGAATCTACTACCTTTCCATCAATATAGACATGGAGAAATTTTTATAATAACACTGTTGCTGCTGATAAATGCTGGTCAAATAATCAATTAATGTAAAATTTATCTTGTAAGTGGTTGCATGATGCTTATAAGTCTAATTAGTCCATACAAATTGGCTTTAGTACAGTAACTTTTATAAGCCCCCATGTACATTTTATAGGGTATTCAGTTAGGGTGATGAAAGTCACCCATGGTTGCTGTCTAGTTTAAGTCCCTTAAAAAACTATAATTACTGCTACTGCTGTTGATTGTGGTACATACTGTATTGTAAAACCGTTGATTTCTATGACTTCTTTTTACGAAATTGCTGGATGGTTAACACCTTAACTTGCAACTAGCTTAGGTGGCACCAGTACACTTAAGTCAGCATATGATATTATTTCAGTAACACATTGAAATTATTCTTATATCATTTCAGTAACATATTGAGATTATTATATAACAATGAAATTGTAAAAAATTTAACTGCTGTTTGTTTTAGTGAAATGTTAACAATTTCTTTGAAGAATCAGGGAGATACGTACAATCAAGCAAAAAAAAAAAAACATCAGAGCCTAAAATCTTTACAAATGTTTTCCCCAAAATGCTCCCAAACAATCAGGCTTTATGATACCATTCCAATTTTGATTAATAATGACAAAACATTGAGTTTATCAAATCATAAGATATGGAAGTGTGAATAGATTTTTCCTCAGTGATCTTTCTATTGATTTAAATGATCATCAAACAATGACAAAAACATCCAACTATTTTTTCAACTTGGGACAGGTACAGTACTGTATGTTTCACCTTAAAGCAAATAAAACAGGTTCACTATGACTCATTCTTTCAAGTCCCATTAAAATAAATATCACTACAGCAGCACATCCCCATTAGATGTCTGATAAATGACTTTGGGGACATGTCTGGCCTGCTAACTGGTGTGTAATGGACTGAATGAGCACAGTTCTTCTCTCTCTTGTCTGCCATAAGTCTCAAGTCAAGAAAAGGTGGCTTTGTTTCCTCATTTGACCTAAGACCAACCAAACTCCTCGTAATTGAAAGCACTTTTGTTGGTGTTATGGCATCTTGTGAAAAAAAAATGCCTGGTAAAGAGTTACTTTCCATTTGTTTTTGGTTGAATGGTCCTCAGATTACAAATAAGATGTATATACCTTGCAAATTTAAGGCCAATCTTTTTCTGCAAATATTCTTTTTTTCTGATCCATCATTTTGCTATTTTGTTCAACAATGTAATAAATTTATTACTACAACTTTTTCCTGTGCTAAAATAAACTAGCACATTTTTTCCAAAAATGCTGCTTTCAATCTTGAATTTCTTTGCAGTAACTTTCACATATCCTGGCTCAAGAGAAAAAATGTCCACTTGTTGCTCTTCCAGTAAAAATCCAATTATTCCAAATAATGATAAAAAAAATAAAAAAAAAACATTCCCATTAATATACAAATGAAAACAATTACCTGCTCCCTAAAGTATAACCCATCCTTTTTCTTCCATTAGCACACTGAAGTATATACACAACAGTTAGGAAAGCACACATTACATTTTTCTCTCTGTGTCCCATGATGAAATATAAGTACGTCCAGAAAGCAACATGCTAATGAGTTTTTAGACTGTTTTCCTTTTATGCAGTAGACATACTAGTATTTATCCAGATGCCCCATCTTTCACACTGTGGTACCATGTTTCTTCTCCATTCTCCATACCACCATACTTGTTAAGAGCTTTACCTAACACAAAACACCCCACTTCTTCAACTTCAGTGGTACTGTAATATAACATTACACCTAAACCAAAGCCGTCTTTACAGATAAATTTCTCTACAGAGCTATACAGTTCCTTAAGCAAGTTACCCAGCAAAAACAGTTAAGCCACATAAAGTGCAACAGGCCCATGGCATCAATAACTGTTACTTTACTATATTCTACTACAAAACCTTTAGGCGATCATCTTATTCTGTTACATGCCTATTAAACTGTCAGATACAAACATAATTAGAGACTGATATTCCCCATAGGCTTTACAGTCTGGATATATTACCTGTTGATTTTCTCTTGCAGCATAACAGTGGCATTAATTCTAGCTATAACTCATCTATTTGGCAAAAAATGACACATATTGTTAAGAATTTAGGTGTGACTTAATTTAGGACTAAAAGGGATTTTTGATTGTTTGTTTGTGGCCAAATTAAGATAATTAAAAACAATTGACTTTGTAAATGCAGTGCTGGGAAGTAGTTACATTTCATTTACATGTTAATGATTTTTGAACATCTTTTTAGTCTAAAAAGCTAATATTTTGAAGAACATTCATATCTTATATTCCATTTCTTTTACCCTGATCTTCACTTTAAATATAGGAGGACAAATCTGTTAAGTTTTCTTTCAACAATTTTCATCTCAGAGTAACTAAGTTTTCATTATAGTCAAGCATCTGCAATAAAGCTAAAACCATAGACACTTTAAGTTGGTGCTTTCAGTTTATCAACACTGTCTGTCTCGTGCAAATAAAGTTGGTACTTTCAAAATATCTTCAAACCAACTTCCCTTTACCCTGCCACAATCCAACACATTATCAACTCAAACACACTATCACACCTACCACACTGAAACCTACCTCCCTTGGTCACTGCTGACCACCTGTGTGCTAGCAATACAGAAGTACTTCATGTTTTATACACTTGCCCAATGAGATGAGGTAATGCAGGAATGCTGATACCCAAAATTTAAAGGTTCAAGCCTCAACATAAACTTGTATTTAAGGTGCCTGTGCAAACATGCAAACACAGGTAGTCAACTCTTTGTGGCCTTTTATATATGTACCATTGTAAAATAAAATAAATAAATAAAAAATAAACAGAATGTAAAAAAATCAAACTTTGAGAAGAAAACAATACATCAACCTGTTTGACATTATCTTAAAACCTTGCTGACTCAGGTCCAAAACTGTACAACTGTCCAAATATTTCTACCAGCCTATGACACTCTGTCATATAAAATATGCCTTTTCGACAGATTACACAGCAATCAATCCAAGTGCACACTGCTTAGTGTTAATTAAAAGAAGCATTTAGGAGTCATTAAGTGGTAATAGCCTGCATTCTATTACATGATTAAATCCGGTACAGTCTGACCATATCTCTGTAATTAAGGGTGTTGTATGTATAAGAAAACAAAAGAAACCCTCCATAATTTTGTTAGTCATGCGAGTTGCGACAAGATTGGGAGCAATAAGCCCTTGATAGATCACGATGGCTCCGAGTATGTCATCTCTCCTCATTGGTCACCTCAGTCATCGCAGGTTACTAGATTTGTTATATGTCACCATTGTGTCATTTTATTGGCACTCCTATTGTTTTGGACAGGTGTGTATGTAAAGTTAGCATACACCAGTCACTGCCATAATAAATATTCTTTACTTGTTAGAGAAATACAATAACAGTCTATTTGGCCGTTAACCGCAATATTCAGTTTTATCATATCTAAACACGCACCATCAATCTGCAAGCATTTAATGTGTAGAAAATTTTTAATTTCCAATCAAATGTTTGATGGCTTCACCATTACAGCTTATGCTCAAGCTGTGAATACTTGTATTTTCCCCTTTTTTTCTGGGAAGGATGGGAACTGGTACGTACAGTTTTGGCTAATGATAATACATCTGCACTTGGTGACTGGGGAAGTTATTAATACCTTTTTTTTAGCAGTGTTATAATCTCTTAACCATAGTTCACTCTAACGATGGGTAAAAACTGTATCTGAAGAAAAACTGACTAGAATAAAATCCCATATACAGTGCACCAGGTAACCAATCATAATGGGTTTTGCATCCTGATATGTATATATACATATACCAAATATGGCAGAAAGAAACGAAATCTATAAAGAAGTTGAGGGGCCTCCAAAAAAGGAGTGACATATCTTGTGCAAGAAATGAGCAGGGAGTAGTACTGATAAAACAACCAACATTGGGAAGGTCTTATTATACAATATTTTTATGTACTGACTCATTTTATTCTTAAAACTAAATGCCTAATTCAAGAAACAATGTGCATATCAGGTAAACTAAAAAGTTAATTTTTGTAACTTTAAAAAATAATGGTTATAATACAATGAAATTTTACTCTCTACTGCTTTATGGCATATCAACTCCTGAACATACATTTTGTAGATTTTATAACCTCTCTGTGGTACTCTCTGTGTTACAAAAACTACGACCCAAATATGCAAGATCATTTAAAAACTTTATCTGTTATTTCTTTGAAAAGCTAATTAATGCTTGCCTACTTATCTCAGTATATTTTCTAATATAATACTTATCTTGACTTCTGCCAGAAATAAATTTTCCCAAGCATATGACCATTCTATGTGCATTTAGTTACACTCAGATCACTATACACTTCAGCATCCTGACATTTCAAATATTTGAATTTTGAATAACAGAATGTTAAAGACCAGGTCAAGATTCTTTATGAAGTCTTGCATGTATTTGAATGATAGAGGACTGGTCTTGAGATAATTCAAAGTAAACTACCTCTTTTATGTCCCCCAGTATTATGTAAATGCCTTTTTACGAATCCTTAACAACCCTTATTTTGAGCTTTTTTAAATATATGAATATATTTTATACAAGATCTTCAAGCACTTCATAAATAGAGGTATTTAAGATCAATCCGTAAAATGAAATGATATATTCAACAAAAAAAGAAGCTATATTTCATTCCCCATGGCCATTATTTCAAAAATAAAATAAAAAATAAAGTTCATCGTTTTAATATTTTCATTTGCATTTTTTACAGACAAATAAAATTCACCAATGTTTGCATTCCTAACTAAGTCTTTAACTTACTGCTTTTAATGCAGAGCATCTTTTCTGTCACCTTCAGAGGTATTTTATGTTTGAAACAAATTATATCAAAATCAACCAACCATGTTTTATTGGTTGTGTTAAACAGTGCTATGTTATTTTTTCTCTAAATGTTGAAAAAGAATGAACTGATTCCACAAACAATTCACAATTTGAACCAAATGCCAGTGGATAAAACAACAGTGCACATGCACCAAAGTAACTGCTCACAAAGATCTCAGATATAGATACAGATAAAGTTCCTTTCAGATATATGATCAGTTAACAAAGTGTCTAAACCAAAACAAATAGCCCTGAAGAGTGACCATTGGCCATCAGGATATGCTAAGATGACTTTAGATAGCCTCTCCTGTTCTATGGTAACCTCTTAGCCCATGGTCAGATAAGATTAAGACAATCAGATTCAGTGGTTAAAGTATATAATTATTTTGATTTTATCTACCTGACCATTAACTCTTAAAAATTACAAGGTGAAAAAAGAACTGAAGTTGAGGTATCAATTAATAAGTACTACCTATATGGTAATTTATATATATATAGGGAGATGTATCAGAGTTCTCCAATCAATAGCATTGCATTCTTAAATGTCCTTAAATTCATAAAAAAAAATTAAAGTCATACATTTTGCAAAGTTTGACCATTTTTTCACCATTCATATCTCAGACACAATATCCATGAATTAGTTTTGAACATGGTTAAAATTCCAGACTATATTTCTATGACTAGATGGAATTAATATCTAACTAAAAAGCATAAAAAACATATCTTTTTCCTGTAATTTTAACATTAATTTAATTATCAAAGTGAGGAAATCACTTCAATTCTTTCAAATGATAGTTTATCTGATTTTCTTCCCTTAAGCAGTTTCAAACAGACATAGGTGGTAACCAAACTAGAATATTAGAGATACTATATGCCTGAAGACATCAAAGTCATCATCCAAAAATTCTATCAAACCAATCTTTAAAATGGAAGGAATAAATTAACTTACTTGACCCACGTATGTTACGTCCAATTGAAGTTTTTTTAGTCCAATTACGGTATCTTTTTAGATCAGAATAAAAAATCCAATAATAAGTTTGAAAATTTTCTGTTTTTGTTCCCCTCCTTAATCCAAGGGGATGTTCCTGTTGTTCCAGTTACACTTTCACTAATGAATTCAGGAGAGGTGCACACATATCAGCCCGTCACGGAAAACTGGTTTGAAAAAAAGACTTGTAGTGATTTATTCCTCCTGTCACGATTGCCATCCCCCACCCAGAATACAGCGTGTCGTCATTGCGCTTCTTAGCATCACTGAATTAATTACTTGCCACAAGATAGGGAATTATCACAAAGCATTAAAAAAGTATTACAATTTTATATGAGATCAGCATTTTATGTCAGTTTTGGTGCATATGATGTCTCAATTCAGTGAGAGTACAGGTAATGCAGGTGCACTAAGCTGTAGATCATTTCTATAACAAATGACCATGATTTTACAATGTAGTTCTACGCCTTGTCCATTTTTTAAGAAAATGAGTGACTAACCAACCAACTTATACAAGGTATTACAAACCAAAATTACAGCTCTAAATTTTTATGATGGCAGTTTTTTTACTGGTGGCATTGTACCTTCAGAGAGAAATCTCATACAATCAAGTATTTCATTTATCTGAGGACTTTTTATATGACTGAAAAAATCAAAACATATACGTATACTATGAAAACAATAAAACAAAGTTTCTAAACAAAATTAGATTTTTTTTCTTTTTAAAAAATTAAAGGGTTAAAATATTATTCAGCTTAATAATGCATCTTAATCTAGCTCCCAGTACCATGCACCTGACAAAAAGAAAAAATGCCATAAAAGACCCATTCACATTTGCATGAATCTTTTGGGTATCCATTTTAAATCTAAACCTAAACCTATTTCACTGGTCTATCCTTGTAATTGTAATTCTAGTCAGTTTTAACCCAATTCCATAATTTCATATAACGTTACATCTTTTGGGGGTTGAGTAAAATCACTTCAGCAGAATGGTAAAAAACAACCCCCTTTTCATGACGCATCGTGCACAACAGGCCTGTCAACCTTGAAAATGTTTGTATTCTGGGTAGCTACACTATTTGCAAATGTTGTCATGAAAAGCGGAGGAAATGAATGGTAGTCAAAATGTTTAAAAATGGCATCCTTGTATAAGAAAATGCTGATACATAGGTTGACATTATGAGCATGAGTGGAACTACATGTAGAGTGGAAAGAACCTTAAAATTTCACCAGTTGGTCAACAGTTCCATTATCAATGTCCATTTTAGGGTGGTCAACTAAATGTGATTTGCTATCATGGGCCTCAGTTTGTTCTGCTATGGACTATAAACACAAATTCAGTTGTAACATGAACATGATACCTACAAATAAAATTACTGAAGCAATTTGCAACCCTATTACACAAATATCCCACAATCATATATTTTTGTATCATATTTCTTTTGTCAACGACATGTATTCCACTTTGTCTCACTTACTCCATGATTTTTTCCATATTACTAGTATATCTGAATATCTATGCAGTGCATTTCTCATGTCATGTTTGTATTATATATTTTGACGTTCTAAAGGTAGACTTAACGTTTTCCAAGTTTTTTTTCACATTTTTTGACAAGAAAAGTATATTTTCCAAAGTTTTCCACAAGACATTTTACAGGTACCTTTAAACCATATAACAACATGACAGCACTTTGGAATAAAGAAAACATTTCACCAATGAATGCACGATCCAGCAAGTATATCAGATTACTTGATAGGTAGCATTCACTGTGCCTATTTTCGAAAGGATAAAAGATGTATTATAGTCCTCAGTCTCATACTTCTCCTATGTAAACACTAAAAATGTGTATATTTTAACTCGCTGCAACTTGGGGTTTATATGTTTACAAAGTTTTGAAGGCTGACTTGGGACTTGGGCCAGGTAAAAATAAAGATGTGGGGGGGGGGGGGGGGGGCGGTGTAAACAAGGTGGGGCTAACCTAAATTTACAAGGAACTCCCATTACAAAACGTTCATCTTTCTAGATGTAACAAAATACACAGGGTCACTGCAGTATTGTTAGTCAGTCAAAATTATCATATTGTGTATGATTTGTATATGTAAGGCTTACAGGTAAAACCAAAAGAAGAGTTAAGTCAGTGAATCATATTGTTGTGTGTCCAAATGACGAAGTACTCTCTTCATTCTCTTTTGATTTAAACCAACCATTAAAAATGATATTTAGTGGTCAGATCCCATGTCCACTTCCTTGCATGGACAAGCCTATGACCATTACTAATAACAGTTATTACACTGTTCAACACGTGCCATCAAAAAGATCATAAAAAAACAACATATCTAGATGGATGCATGACCCTCTCCATTAGTGTTTGAACATAGAGCAAAAAGACGTATCTATGTAACTGGGTGGAACATCTGATTCATCAGTACACTCAGGGAGGGTCCGAGACATTGGGAAATTTATGAGGTGCTGCTTAGACAGTCAACGACTTAATGTCTTTTTTTCTACTGTAAAGCTATGACATACAGTACCTAGAGACTTGTCTAATGAGTTCACATAAGACAAGCAATAGTCATGACATGCTAGAGAATATAATGTTGACAGCGTCACACAAATTTTAAATCTCAGTTCATGCTTGTGGGGCCAACGCAGAACTACAGGAAGCACAGGTGAACTTAACAGAATAAAGTGCACACCTTGAGGTGACACTACTTACCTGTCAGTACAGGTCGTGAAGTTTTTTCCCAAACAAAAAAAATCCACCTCTGACGTCCCGTGTGTCACACCTTGGCTGAAGAGAGGGTCAGTTATAACTGGACGGCATGCATTTAAGTCAGGTGTGATAACAGGTGAACATTAAGACACATCTTTACATTAGACATGCTTGGTTGGTAAAAATAGCACCCCAGTCAACTAACATTGGTTCAAGGGATTCAGGTAGAAAAACCGGTTCTTCATGTAAGATATTGAGGCAAGCATTGTGCTATACCTGCCCATAGTTAAACAAATAAAACTTCCATTCTTCTCAATAATCCCTGACTGTTGTGGAGATCACAAGGTCAAAGGTATCATAACACAATTTGAAGTATGTTATATAGATTTATTACGATAAAACAAAACGGATTAAATGAAAGTCACACAAGTGCACTTTTGCTAGTAAAGGCAGCTGAGGGAACACACACACACACACAGGGTCTCTTTAAATGATAGGTGGTAATATAATGAGATCTGAAAGCAGATTAGCAGTATTTCCTACCTGTCTCAGGTGGATGACAATAGGCAGAGTGACTCTCAGCCATTGTTGACAGTTATGTAACAAGTATCCAATTACAACTTCAACTGTACATCAATTTGGTTTGCACAGCTGAAGAAAAAAAAAAACACAAGGCTTTTATGTTGTTGTTTTTTCTGACAATTACTGTAATTTACTGAATAAAACAGTTATGAATGTACATGTAATATCAGATATATTAATATTTAAAAAAAGAAAAATACCAATCTAACATTAACTGTTCATTTCAAATAAATTAAAAAAATTATTGTTGAAAGTTTTCAGCCTTCATATTTTATTTTTTAAATTTTTTTAACCTAAAATTAAAATCTAATTAAATTCAATTAAAATTTAAGTATGTGCAAATTGTAGAAAGGCCATTCTAATTCTTGCCATAAACATAAGCAACTGTTTGTCCACTTCATGCACCAACAAATCACAAATCTTGATCACCTTGACTGCCCCAGATAAACATATCTGATGTTCACCTAGCATAAAATACACCTTTCATCAATGGACCCTGCCCAGTGGTCAAGTATAATAGCCCCTGGCCAGCCTGTTTTGACTTATAGCTTGCTTATAGTCTGTTTAAAGTGGCATTCATCAAGATAATGACCTTGAGAATGTTGTGAACTTTCAAATACTGAAAAAGATTCTCAATAAAATTATTGCCCCCTGGGCTATTAAGTAGACTGCGATATATATCATGATGCAAATAGTTTCAGTTATGCAATATATGTCTTATTTTCTTATTTTGATGTCAAGCAACATCAACGACTAGCAGATCAAGGACTAGCAAACTGTTTGGGGAGAGGGGGAGGGCAGACATTGAAATTGTTCATATGTATTACCTCACTTTGCTTGTACACTGGTCTTATTATTTCATAGATTACCTGAAACTACCTCCGTTAATATTTTTGGCTGTCATATCTGACAAAAAAGGCCTAACTGCTGACACCAATGGCATACTGTGTATTACTTCATTATGCTCACTATGTACTTTGCTTTCTTTCAAATAAAAATAACTTTTAAAAAAATTTCCATTCTTCAAATTTTCAAAAATTGGTTTAATTTGCAGCAATTTTCAGTGCTTAAAAGTATATGAAATATTTGTCATTTAGGAGGGACAGTGCACATGATACAATCTGTCATTTTACCTTGGAAAATCAGTATGTATACGTACTGTTTTGAAATCACTGTGTGTCGCAAATCCTATGGAAATTAACTGTTGTCGTGAATCATGTCACAAGGCACTGATCTGCAATATTAATTGAAAACCATCAGATGCAACATCAACACAAATAATTTTTTAATTTTTTGTAGAAATGATATTTCCTTTTTTTTAAATCATTTTCTACTTGAAATTTATGAACAGATACACTTATGTGGATGGCATTACCAAGGAATTTGATAGGATATGTAATTCCATGGTATTAATCACCAATTTTTTTTAAAGCTTGTGTACATTGAGATGTACATACATTGTAAGTAATCAGGTTGGCTGTTTATTGACGGACTAGAAAAGCTCACACTCTTGTAGTCCTTGTACACAATTTGAAAAAGTCTACTTTTCCTGCACAGTCAACAACTTTAAGCATCTTTCAGACTTTTTAAAGCGTTCTTGTCTGTGTTACCTGCACAGTCAACAACTTTAAGTATCTTTCAGACTTTTTAAAGCGTTCTTTTCTGTGTTGCCATGGATAGATTCCCATCTTGGATTTCGTACCCTTCTCTGATTCAGGGCCCTGGACACAGAATTTTTCGACCCTGGACATCCGAAATGCCGTTTCGCAACCCCTCAAAACAAGTGCGATAAAACGACCAAAATATACATGTACAGCTATTTACTTGCCCAAAAAAAAAAATCTGTCTATGAACGTGAAAAAACCTACTGAAAGTACAAGGCTTGTTAATTTCAGAATGCTGATAGCATGTGGAACAAGTGAAAATATGTCACAGCATTTGTGCAATCATCTCACCTAACACAATACAACTCCATTGAGGTACTTGGAAGCGCGTTGCTGGCAAATCGTTTCAACTTTCGAGCTAATTACATTCGGATACTTGTAATGTTTTGTTTTTATCTTTATTCATTTGTTTACTTTATTAGTATTTTTGAAACACAACCGCCCACACAAGCACTGCACCATCATCAAAATTGATTGATTTAATTCTAAATATAGGCATATTAATTTTTTTAATGCAGAAGTTGTGCACTCTTTGTTCAAAATATTGTAGACCTATGCCTATCGTGGTGTGTTTGTTGATCCATGTTTTATTTTGTTTGACTAACCGAATTTTGTGTGATTTAGTCTACCATTATAGGCCCCCTACGCTAGGCGTTTGCCTTTTGTGGACTCTACTCCGCGGGGTTTACCGGCAGGTTCAATGATATGATAATGATCTCGAACTACTGTTTCTTACATTAAAATATTTCAGCACCAGGTATATGAAGAGAAAAAAAACAATAGATATTGCAAAGTATTTAATCATTTCAATTAACGCCAATTTAATAAAACTTTTTTATGATGAAATAATTTTAAATAATTTATTGCAATGCATGATTCGACTACACAGTAAAAATTTTACGCGAATAAAAAGTTGACTCATCATTACTTGAATCATTTACAAATAAAAAGTTTTATCTCCTTCAAACTCAGCCTTTCTGTATGTTGTAAATGTCTTCTATCATTTAACATACATGTTACATCATTCTTCAGAGGTTACTGTCATGTTTTTTAAAACAAAAATTCCACTTAAAACAGTTCTACGCATTATGCGTCTTTGCTATTATCTGAGAGAGAGATATAAGCTGTGGATTCTATTTCACCCCTGCTCTTTTCTCTTTCTGACACAAGACGTGAGCCACGACAAAAAATCTCCGAGTAAGCCTCTCTTCTTCTCCTTCTTCTTCTTTTCAATAATGGCTAGTTTAGTCTCATCCATCTCTGGGGCCACAGTTACTGAATTATTGAAATGAAAAACATTACACACTGCATTGCTGTTCAAACCAACATTTCATTTTACTTCTTTCTATCTTCATTATAATAATAATAATAATAATAATAATAATAATAATAATAATAATAATAATTATTATTATTATTATTATTATTATTATTATTATTATTATTTCATTTATTTATTTTATTTTTCTTATTTGTAATGACCCTATAAGCTGGTCGTATAAGGGACGGTTTTTTAGAAAGACCAACAAGTATGTCACTTAATAATCAGAAAGATTGTTGTGCATACATGAAGTTCACACACCTTTCTCCTCTGGCATTTCAATCTCCTCCCAGACCGCCTTTATATCCCTGTACTTTACTCTTCTCCTCCATCCATCCTGGGTCTGACGCAACCTCTCCAAATCTTTCTTAACAGAAGTGTCTACGCCAGTCATGCTAAGAACACTGGAGATGAAATTAAAAATGATAATAATTTAAAAAATAAAAAAACGTTAAGCTAAAATGAAAAATAGGTATATGCTGGTAAACCGACAAATTATGGTCGTATATTTACATTAGAACTAAGAAATAAATATCAAAGTAAATTGAGTGTGGATACTTTGTGCAACTTTATGTTATTATGATGATAAAATGAAATTATTAAGTGAGACGAGAAAAAGGAGGGAAGAAGAACTGGTACACTGTTCAGAAACCGGCCCTGTTAAAAAAAGTTTTCAGGATGTTTCAGTGGTTTACATACCTAGTTGGAGGATCAACGGGCACTTCGTCCGTGCTCTTTTTTGCTACCATTAAGTTGGCATCGTCCGTCAGTTCCTTCCGTTCTTTCTTCACCAGTTGATCTTCCTCAACCCCTCTGGGCTCTGTCTCCTCCGTAATGATGGGGATCTTCATAAAAGCAAGGAACTTCTCCGTGATGTCTGGTCGTGGAATGTCCCCCGCTCTCCACCTCTCTGCCATCCCTATCATGGCTTCCCAAAACATGCCCGACGTCCCAGACACACAGTCCAGCGTTCGTACGAAGCCATGTTTAGGGCGGTCCAGAGGGCAAGTCCACCCGGCATCTTTTATATCTTTCACCTATAAAAATCAGATGAAATATTAATAAATTATTAAATGTAACGTATTCCGCTCGCTGATTTTTAAAAAAAGAATAAAGACCATATATTCAAAATTCATCAAAAAGCTGACAAGGGGCATCTAAAATTGATGTTTTTAAAACAGGAAAAAAAACTTACGGCAGTGTAATGCCATTTGATAGGCGTATTGTACTGGCATGAGGTAATTCCTTCATAACTGTCTAAAATAAGAAAAAATGAGGCTAAAGGAAAATTTAATTTGTTTTTAATGCAAAGCAAAAAGAGTGGATTTATAAAGAGATAATTTTCAAAGAAAAAAGATAAGGAATATTGGTGATAGCTATTTAACATAAAAAAGAAATATTATCCTTAGAAGTGTGCGGCCCTCTCACCTTCAACAGACTTTGCTTTCTCAACGCTTTCCGTTTTGTTGTCCATCATTTGTATGAATTAAAAACAAATCTGAAAGTAAAGATAAAACGAAAAACATGCACAAACCTGTGTAAGATACTATGTGGAGTTTATCTGTATAATCGCATGGCGAAAAAAATATTTTTGGTACAATCATAAGTCCGTCTAAAAAGAAAGCTAAACATTAAATTCGCGCTGAAAACCTGTACAGTATTTCTAAAGAAACTTAGCAAGAATACTACACAAACTATATACATTTCTCCAAGAATGCAAATAATAATAATAATAATAATAATAATAATAATAATAATAATAATAAATAAATAAATAACCAGGGATTATTATGTAACAGCGCTACTTACCAAAATCAGAAAAAGCGCAATTCTGACTTGTGTGGTTGCTAAGTACGCTCGGCCCTCTGATTGGTCAAAACGTTCCAATTGATGACGTAGAGCTTGCTTTGACGTCATAGTTTAAAATGCCCGTCATTTGCATGTTTCAGCACAAGGAGATATTCTCTCCTGTGGTTTTTGAAGTCCGTTTTTAAGGTTGCTTTGGGTTTTGCTCAATGCAGCTGTGGACTATGAGATAAGAATTTCGTCCTGGAATCCGGGCGGACAGTCTTCGAAAGGTCAGATACACACTCAAATTTCAAAAACATGCTAAAAGTGGGTGAAACTTACACGTTTTCTAGTATACACGTAAATTATGAATAAAAGAGATTCAAATATAGTTAAATGATACCGTCTGCATGTTTTGTGATGATTGAAAACAGCATGCTATGACACAAGTAAAGATCCCGAGAGATTTGCAATTGATTTTATTAAAACATTGTGTTATTGAAAATATCAGCTCATTTCCATCATTTCAAATTTATGAAAAACTTAACATAATTTCTCATTAAGCATTCGTCATTTTTTAAAATTCAGTTTTATGGGTTGTTACGGGTTGTGTGCGGACACGCTTATGAGTGCGTCCCTGGGCTAATTTCTTTGTGATCCTGGCTAACAGTTATTTTTAATAATGGTTGTGAGTCTGCTGTACTGCAACATACATGTGTATAATGTAGATGAACTGTGTTCTATTAAGATTTCTGTGTTGATACATTAAACTGAAACTGATCTGGTTTGTGTCAGCTCTTTGATCCAGGTTCCAATTATGTTTATTTATTGATCGTTCCATTTATTTTTCAATTTTTCCTTCTCAATTAACCTTGATGCAACACCACACGTTTATACCCATTATCCTATCAGTACAGCTACTTGTCGAAAAAAACTGTTAGGGATCAGACTTTGAAGGGAACAGACTTTGAAGTTTAATGAGGCCTGCATTATACTTGGGATCGAAACGAAACATGCCTGTATTTTTTAGATTTCCATGTCGATACCGTTATCTGACGCTTCCAGCATACGAATTTACAATCTTTGTTTTAAAAATACAGAAAAAATTTAAACATACTGGGCTCGCATGGCAAGTTAATTGTTTTCACATCTGTCTAAAACTAGACTCCAAGCTGTTGAAAATCGGTCTTTTTAACACAGTATTTAGGCTAAAAGAAAGTGTACACTGTCAACGTTTTAAGCAGTATGTCAGTGGGTAAACAAGTCTTACATGCTGCTTTTTAAAATAACAAGCCCACTAACTCAATAGATCTTGCATCAACTAATACCCCTTGAGAGGAGCTTAAAAACATATTATTTTAGTTAATTTTATTCATTGATTATCTTAATTCTGGTTGATTTAATTTTTATGTGAAAATTAGACTGCTTTAATCTGGATTCTTAATATACATGTATTTTTTCCTATTTTCATATACATGTATCTTGGCAATTGTGTTCATAAGTACTTGTTTACATGTAAAGTCTACTTTTTACTAACAAGGATTGACGTGGGGACAGCTTGAGCTTTATGCAGCAGACAGACAGCACGGCGAGCTCTGGTGGATACCTTATGTGCCACATTAGAGCTAAGAGGATACAGTCTTCTTTACATTTAAAATTAATTTTAGACTATGTATGTATATATTTTTTTCTATTTTTATTTATATAACAAACCCACGACCTTCACTGCCAGAATAAACTTATCAGCTGCGTTAAATTTGTCTCCAACACCGGGGGTGCCGTTCAATGACCTGTTTTTAGATCCGGCAGTAGTTTACTGTAAAGGCATGAAGTAGGTCATAGGGCAAGAGATGTGTTTTCCAAAACGACCTAGTTTTGAAGTTTGCGTTTCGGAGAACAGAGAGAGAAAGCAGCTCTCTGGGGAATGAACAGTACACGGTATCTGAAGAGAAAAGCTTCTGATATGAGTTAGGTGTGGTAGATCTACAAGACTTACACTTAGTGTAGCTGTGAGATATTACCGTGAGACAGCCCTAGAAGAAGAACAGAACATGATGTGGTGTCAGCACTCTATGTTACCCACGATTCTGGTTGTTTTGAAGATCAACAACATCTTTGCGATATCCTGTTTTGAGAGCACTAACCAGGTTAGTTTTGCTTGATCCTAGAACAATTTGTTTTTTTCCATTCTTTCAAACTTGTGTGGATATCAATATATGTCAGTCGCAACCTGTTGATATTTTTCAATATTTTAAAATGGCGGAGTTACATGGATTGCGTTAGTATTTATTAATTCTTCAAACTATTTTATACTACTACTTTCTACAACTTTTCCTTTCGATTTGGCCGTTTACGATATTACTGTTCAGATTATGAATTTTTTTTCCCTAAACAATGTCCATTATTTCTTCTAGGGTTTCAGTCACCTCAATTGTTCGGTAGAAAAATCAGGTAGTGTAATGCAACCACTTGGTTCACTTAACAGCCTGGTAGTGATTATTATGCATAATTATTGTGATTGTTACCAGCAATCATCACCATAATGACAATTAGTTAATGTAAAAAATACATATCTTTAGAAAAATGAACGGCACGTTTGAACCTAGAACGTCACGCATGTAGTTGTAAACTGCTGTACAAAGTACAAAATGAAAGGATAAATTTAAGATAAATTACAGAAACTCGCTGCATGTTACTGTTTTCTACAGCAAGTCATCCCTTTTTTTTTAAAGGAAAAGCATAAATTATTAAAAATTAGCAAAAATCTTAAATAAAGTTTTCCACCACCAGCCAAAACTTTCGCGGTTGGTTGACATGAGGGCTAACCGCAGTGACTTTACCAAAACAATATCGACCGTCACCAGATACACAAGTATTTTATTGACATTTTAGGTGGGTGTTTTAAGTTGCTTTGTGTGTTGTGGTGATTAATTGTATCCGCTTTTATGATTTTAGATAACACCAAAGCAACGCGTGTATTCAAGATAACGAAAGTTTGTTGACTTTCTATTTGTCACGATATCAGTTTTGACACATGCCCAACTGTTAGTGGTCGTATGTATTTTCAATATCCGGGGTCTGATTTTTTGTGTAAAATCACCGCAACTAAAGCAAGCATTGATATTTGAAAATAACCAAGGCACAACACTCTCTTGTGAGGCAATGTCGATGACTTTATGAAAATCCATGACAAAATGATGGCCAAAAATCACGGAGAGCCACACTTGTTAGAGAGATGTTACTGTGTCTGGACTAAAATAAACTTCTCCCATTCAGCATTTGAGCTATTTTTCAAGCAATGAATAATTCACTATTCACTTATAAATCTAGGTAATGTTCCATCTTGCTTTACAACTAATAACAAAAAGGTGAAATTCTTAAAAAATAAATATATACATTATATGCCACCTTATTTGTATACCTGCCAGCCTCAAACTTGCGAAGATAAGTGGGGATTAGTGCTTTTGTAAATCTGTGCTAACAGAAGGATTCGCCTCATATCAATATAACTTCTCATTTATCTTTTTTTTTTCAAATAAGACACCTGCCAAAAGCAGTGGATTAAACCAGGGAATGACATGAACCCAGGTTCTCCCACCAGACTCAACGTGACCCTGATGTTCCTAAACCACAGTAACAAGAGTTATCCGGGACTGGGTATTACGTGGCAGACAGCAGACGACGGTAAGATTCGCCCATATATGGCATAATGTAATACGCAAGCAACGGCTAATAAAATTTATCGCTGAAATTTCGTATAGATCGTGCTCTGCTAAGGAAATAGCAAACTTTGGTCCCATGCAATTTAATTGAAAATTTGACATCTGACGGCAGGCAATTTTTTTACAACCGCAGTTCGGAACTCTACGGGCTGGGCACAGTTTTGGGGAACCCCTTCAAACCACGTGACTTGTTTCAGCAGACAGACATGAGAGGAAAGGCTCCATAACGAGTGTTAATTACATAGGAGTGAAGCCATCTTCCACTAAGCTCTAAGTGGGTAATTGACATCTGCATGCGTGTAGATTATTTGCTTTCATCTGACCAAAAGTTACAGGGTCGCGTCAGAAAAAATGTCCGCATAATAAAAACTGTGGGCCTGGTAGATGGTACTTTTCACTGCAAAAACCGACTTTTCCACCGGAATACGTGTAAATAAGTATTTGTCTCTGTGCCAATAAGCACATGTATCTACTACTACAATAAGAATTGTTTTTAACTGCGAGATAACTTTACGACCGGGGATTCTTTAATTGCCGCAGCAAAAAAGACTGTTGTCGCATATGTAACTGAGAGATAATGCGCTCGATGTCAGTATCTGGGTACCATGCACTGTACCATGTTAGAGTATTTATGAAATTTACCCCGAGACAACTCTTAATTCAAAACACAAGCGTTTCTGTCTCAAATCACCCCATTTTAGTTAATCAGAAAATAATTATATATTACCGCTTGATTGTAACAACAATTAGTGAATAATTGAATATTTAACTAGAAAGGCACTCATAGAAAGAAGACCTCCGTCACGGCGACCCAGTTCTCATTATGATTTAGTATTTATTAACTGATTAATTAATCTACCTATTGGCATTGGCTATTTATTTAACAACTAATTGATAAACCGAATTATGACTTTTAATTACTTATTGATAAATTGAATAAATGTATTAGTTAATTATTGATAAGATGATAAATCATTAGCTAATCGCCACAAAAATCTAGCCCATTTTTGAACTATCCTGAAATACACATCAAGACCCCTTAATAACTTTCTGCAGGCAGACAGACAGACAGACAGATACTTTACTTTCAAACCATTAACTAATTTAAGGATAACCACCATTGTCCAAAATCTAACCGTTTATTACATGTAATTGGTCCCTTTTCCCGACATTCCCTGAAAATTCGTCCACACCATGCAAAATTTTATGGAGGGATATCGATGAAGTTTTAACAGAAAAGGATTAGATTTTGGTGGCGATTAATTGATTAAGGAATACGTTACGAATATTGTTCACAATTTTTTTGTGGAATTTCTGTTAGCGGGAATCATTCATTGCAGATTTTAACGTTCTTTTTTTTTTTTCGTTTACAATGATTATCTATTTCCCGACTCTATGACTCTTAATCAGTGTAATAATGTGACGCCAATCAATAACAAAAACTACCCCATTTCTTTTACGAAAACAATTAATAAATAAAATTCAACAAATGCTTTTTTTTCAGCATCATACCAGTATACCGAAGGGTTTCGAATGCATGCACGATATCTCTCCGGGAATTCAATTGGATCTTTGTGCAGAATATTTAATATAGAGAAGACCGGCTGGATACAGGAGGACCTAAACAATAAGGTAACTAGTATATGTAATAGATAGACACCAAGTCAGCGAAGGTTATGTGACATACACGAGTGCGTAGGGGTCTATCTTACTTAGACCACGGTCCATTAGTGGGTTGTAACACATTCATGCGAGACGTGCGGTTATGCGAGTTACACCACGTCTGAATCTTTTGTTCTTCACTGCCACCGTGGTCTAAAGATTGGTAACTTTTAGGAAAAATGGTTGGACTTTAAGTTGTTTTGTTATTTGTACTTGCTTCCTGCCTGATACCTCTATCTGCCAAAGCCTAGCTTATTGTTTAATATGTGTTTATTTAATAATTTGGTCGCCTAGTTTATATCTTATTATCATTCTATTCATCATAGGCAAAATGAGTGGTTTGGGGGATTCACCTATCTTAAATCAATCATTTAATCTTTTGAAGCATAAGGACATAATATTATCCCAAATTCACAATCTACTGGAGTTATAAAGGATATGAAATAGTAACTTTTTAGCTGTATCTGACGTGGCGAAGTTAGTTGAATCTAGCAACCAGATAGTAACAGAGTACCAGAATGGTGGTTGTAGGATTTTACATTTTTACATTAATTGAAACTATCCCTGATTAGAAGAATGGTTACTTCGGAAGCTTACTGCAAATGTTTATTTGCACCAAGTTTATAGTGATCACTTTTTGATATGAAAGCTTTTGGGTTCCAATGCCAAATGTGTTTCAATCAAAATTAGAAACTCAATTGGTACAAAATGTAACATATTGGTTTTTATTTTTCTAAATCAATATATATGTAAGAATAGGTAAGAAACTGACAAATGTCATTATTTTAAAAATTCACATTTATTCAAATTTATTTTAATTCCAACGTGTATTTTGTTTAACCATAGCACCAGCTGCCAGAGTTTATGATAAGCACGTCTGCAGGAGACTGCGATAAAGCTGGCCTCTTTTAAATTTCAGCCAACCTTTTTCTTCGAAATATGGCCACTTCCTGCAGGTGACAATACAGTGTTCGTGGAGATCTGCAGCTTACCTCTACCCAAGGCCGGCCACAACAGACCATGTGCAGACACTTTTGTTAGCGTACCAAAGCAGTTATACGGTACAGGTACCACACAGTTCTCATCTCTTTTTTTTTTTACTGTTCACTAATTTTGCTCGCATTCGTATAAAAAAATGCTATATCATATCACCACGTTCACATTAAAAGAAAAGTCTCTCTCTGTTTAATGCATTTGTGTGTGTGTCTGCGTCTCTCTCTGTCTGTGTGCATGTGTGTGTGTGTGCGTGTGTGTGTGTGTGTGTGTGTGTGTGTGAGAGAGAGAGAGAGAGAGAGAAATTGCAGAGTTCTTATTTTCATATCTCTTGAATTGCAGACCCCAACGTATCCGTGGCACCATCAGAATGGACTACTTCTATCCAGTTCCGTAACTATTCCTGTGGTGGTGTAGATGTCAACTTCGTCCTGGCCCCAAAAAACTACGGCTTTAAACTTTATGAAGTCAGACTTGTAAACATAGAGGAAACGAAGATCGTTGATTCTAAGGAGGTGCACACATTAAATGAGAGAGGGGTACGTTGAAAAATAATTAATAATTATCAATCAGGCTGTTTATCACTGGGATTGTATACCCTATACCAGGGCGACAGATTGATTGTTCACAGATATTCACAGATATGTCTCTGGGTTTTTCCATTTTCCCCTATATAATCTGCCATTCTGGAAGAGGGTAGGGATTGTACATTGTTCCAGGGTGTTATATTAGTCACTTTTTTAGTTCCTAAAACAGTATCTAATAAACAGGCAATTTTACTGAGGTGTCTATCAGTTATTTAATATCAGATACTAATAATTTTTACATAGCGTTAAGCCTAGAGTGGTACCACTGTCAGCAAGTAATCATACAAGAAATGGTAGTCGAACGAACCAGAAAAAAAAAACGCTTAGCAAAACTGATTATCCATCCTGGGCTTTCAACCAATTGGGGGGGAAACCAGAAGAGTTAGTTGACTCTTCTGGTTATTGTTAATATATGTCCAACAGAATTTATAAAGATGGAAAACTATACTTGATGGATATCGGTCAGGTATCGGACTAAAAATCTGATCTATTTAGACTTCCCCTCCTTTCTTTCGTTAGAATGTGCGGTGACTTCATTCACGAAAATGTGCCGTCACATATAATTGCTCTCTGAGTTTCATTTATGGAGGTTAGGACAGTATATTGGTATACTGAGTCTTAGATGGAGGTTAAATATTAAAATATATTTGTATTGTCATGGGACGAAGCTTGTTTCATCAGCAACCGAGATGTCAATCATTTAAACAGCGGGCATTGTTTGTGAAACAGGCTTTTACAAGTAGACTTCCTTAGTTAACGTTTAAATGAACACCATCTGGCCCAGTTGCATGTGATCTACAGCAAACACCTCAGCATGAAGATGTAACAAAAACCAGTGTCTGAAATATGTAGTCATATTTTAGTTGTTACACATGTACCTAACCAATTGGTATTATTCATTGTATTTTTCAGTCGGTTCACGGTGTTTCGTTCAACGACGTTCCCAATGGGAAGTATTATATATGGGTAATTATTTAGAATATTTACGGAATCAAAGCTGATTTGGGTAATGGTATAGAAAATCTTCTAAGAAATTAACACATAAATCCATTTATTCACAATAAAAGATTTTACTGACCAATAGATGAATGGCTTTTTTTTTCATACTTACACCATTTCTTGATAATATTTGAAATCTCACCAGAGAGACTTTTATAATAGTTTATTAAACTGACCTGTACACATGTCGTTCCCAGGTCCAGCCCCGAGACCTGCCGCAAGATAGGCAAGTCAGTGGTCGCTGTGTATGTAAGAATACATATGACGTCTGTATGAACAACTGTCTCATTACGGAGACGGTAGTGCCCGTCACAATACAAGGTAACGGTACTATGCATGTTGGTACGGTATTTGGTGCAATGACGTATAGGGTTGGTTGATTAGATGGCGGTGTGATTGGATGTGAGGGATTTAGGATGATGGTGTCCAGATGAAATGTTACCTTTATCAGGAGGGTGATGATAGTTACTCCAGTGATCACATACATGTATGAATTCAGAATAAAGGTACATTCATTTCAAACACTGGATAAGAATGGTAAAAGCTGGTGATGTAAATACGGTTTGTACCTGGTGAAACACAATTAATGGAGTTCGTATAGAAGAAACAACCTGAATATTTCCCCAGTATGACAACTTACTAATCAATAATTTTATTTAACTACTTATTGTTTTTTTATTACTTAAATAGTTATAAATAGTTTAATCCGTTACAGAATGTCCCGGTACGACACCAGTGGAGAAAGGGACTACAACAGTGGGAAGAAGGACTACAACTGTGGGGAGGACTACGCCTGTGGGCAGTAGGCCTTCAGGGGCCGTTATGATTGCTTCCATAATTATCGGACTATCTGGAATACTGTTTGGAATACTAGTTTTGGTTGTCGTCTGCTCAAGAATGAATCGTGAGTGAAATTCAAAACCTGTTTATAAAAGACGAGCACTTTAAACGATATGTTACGCTTTCACTCGTAAATCGTTATGTTAAAAATATTTTTGTGATGCTTAATGAAATTTTGGCTGTTGTAAAACATTAAATTTGTCATTTTTATCAATGACTTGTATACATTGGGAGTACATAAATGCCCCAGCCATACAATATGGATGGCCTGACACCGAAATTTGAAAAGTGCTTACACACTTTCAGTAAGCTGAATGTAACCTCGTCAATTTTCTAATGCAAACAATTGGCGCAAAATGCGACTAAAATTAATTTGACATTTTTACTTGTAGGCCGACGTACCTTAAAGTTTTCAAGCTGCAACCAAGGCAGTGAAGGACAAGACGGTACTAATAATTCAAGTAGCTTCGAGACTAAAGGACGTGAGTAGGCTTACCTCACTTTTTCTATGAAATGATTATATCAATGGACCAACTGAAATGAAATTACTTTATTTCAGAAGGCACGGGCATGCAGCAAATATGCTTTGTTTTCAGATGCAAGAGAAAAAAATGTACCAAATGATTTCACTATGCTTTAGTAGATGTCCTCAGTCATGAGCATGCCTACTGTATTTTCTTGCCTGATAAAAACAAGAAAATGGACACATCAAGCTTATGATATGTAAGATAATTTGTGTATCGTTTTCATACACGTAACGTTACTGGTCATCCCTCATCCTTGGTATTTTTAGAGACCCTCAAAAACTTTTCTCCAGTCGACGAGGACAATTTGTTGACAAGAAAAAAGAGAGTATTGATCCTTTTCTCCGAGGAGCATCCAAAACATACCAAGGTAGTGCTGAATTTCGCTAACTTTCTGCAAGCCGCGTGCTACTGTGACGTCATTCTGGATTGGTGGTGTCGCCGCGAAATATTCAGCGAGGGAAAGACGGCCTGGTTGTCCAAAAACATCGAGAAAGCGGAATGCGTCCTTGTTGTCAGCTCTGAGGGAGCTTACAGGTATTATTTCCTTTGCGACGAAACACTTTACAGATAACAAAAAAAAAAAAAAAAAAAAAAAGAAAGAAAGTCGACACAAATAATTTGTTAAAGGTGCACTATTTGATATGTTATGTTATCTGTTTAAAAACAGTGCGCTTTCTTTGATTGATATTGAGGTATAGTCTTTTGTCATTTTTAAAAATGTAACTACATGTTGATCGGAAGGCAGTGACAACGACGTTAAACCATTAGGCCTGGACTGCTAACTGGGCTTTATCCTGTTCACAATTTCTAGTTGAGGTGCACTTAAAAATACATCAACCGTCATTAAAATGAACTTTAGAGCCATGATAAAACCTTCAGAAGATTCTTGGCGAAACGGTCGGTGTCTAGTTCCAAACGGGTGAAGCACACGTTTATTTATCATAAAATACCATAATGTGATATTTCATATAATTTTTTTCTTTCAGACGATTCAATGCACACCTCCAGGGAAGGTCTTTTGACTCCTTGGGGAATTCTAGTCCTTTGTCAGACATGTTTATGCACGGTCTTTCCATGCTCCGCCAGCGGTACTTTACAGAGCACAACTACAGCAAATACATCAACGTAAGATTCACCTACACTCCCGTCGCCTTCTCTCTTCCTGACATGCACAACAATGTTGTGCTCATGGACCATATTGACGATTTGTTCTTTCACATCCATGGCATTGAGAAATACGATCACGGTGTAAAACGTACTGCCGAAAGGATAAATCGAGACGACTATTTTACCGACCCTATGGGAAATCCTGAAGGTGTGAACCTCCACAACGCCATACGAGAGGCGACAGATTTTTTCAATGACCACAAAGACTGGTTTAATGATCAAGAGTTTGAATTAAAACCGCCGAGAAGTGTTGAACGTTATTGTCGTCTGGACTCGGGCTTGGCCTCCTTGTCCACTGGAGAGGGCGAAGATTCACCTGCTTTGTCTCTTAGCTTGAGTGACAATATTGAAGGTGATGACGCTTTTGTCTCAGTACAAGAAAATATGTCTTCATCCAGGAGAAACCCCAAGACTACACCGAACGAGCAATCATCGTGCGATAGGGACCAACGTCCACTGGTTGATTCTGCGGCAAAAACTTACAATACACCAAATTACACCTCTATTAACAATGTGTCATTTCCAGTATCTATACCTTTCCACTCTCTACATGATGGCTGCAACCCGTGCGTTGATAAACAAAAAGCAAGACCACATGTTACCATTCCTTGCCAACATCCCCCGAAACTCATCCCGCCAGATTTATCTCTCACAGCTAACATTTCACCCGATCCACCAATAATGTTCATTCCACCTGTATTTGACGACAATCAGAGTAAGACTTTCAGTCAGATTGCCAATGACATCAATGCCGAGTGTGAAGATGATTTTCTCACCTATGCTGGGACAGATGAAAATGAAATGATTGGAGAAGAAACGAATGATGAAGATTGCATTTCGGTGCAAAGTATTGGTGGTGCAAGTGTTTAATATTTAGAAAAGAAATTTGGATACAAGTGAAAGTGTGACCATCATAAACTGTTTTGGGCGAGACAATTTTATTCAGGTATATGTATATGTATATATATATATATAACTCTTTGTGTTAAAATATGTTAAGTGAATAAATGTAATTCTATTCGGTTGAGCGAATAATAATAATAATGATAAATATTCAGTTACTATATACATGTTTGAACAAAATATATATCAGAAATTTAAATACTGACGGAGCTCTTAAAAGTGAGAAAATTAGTAATGACTGCGTAAAACTGAAGTTTAAGATGTGAAAGTTAAATGTATACAGTGTATCAAAAGGTGATTAAAAATTTTTAATTTGGAGTTAAATCTAGAAACAGCTAGATGGTAAAAGCTTTTTAATCACTTCTTACTTCCTTTAAAAGTTTAAAGTCTCTTGTGACTTGGTAAAAACATAACAAGCTAAACGCAGGAAGATAAAAGTCACTTTTAATTTGGTCCCCTGGTGGTGTGTTTTGTTGTCCCGTTTTCAAAAGTTGGACTTTATCCTGTTTTGTACATTTTTATTAGTTTTTCCTAGTTCAGAGAGTGCCACGTTTTTTTTTAAATATCATTTTTGATAATAGTCGCAGACAAAAATGTACGTCAAACTGTCAAAATGAGTAATGTCTTTTTGTTTTAACTACAAGCCGCTCAGGCTGCATTTCGCAGACTTTCACGCAGAGAGGGTTCTGCCTCCAGGTGAGAAGAAAGCTGCTGTGTAACTGTAGTGTATCTGCAACTTTGAAATAAACGTAGTGTCATAGTGTTGATTTCATGACCAAATTGTATTTTAAAAACTTGAACATTTAAATAAAATTATATCGATTTTTGGTAAAGATTGTCTCAGTTATAATGATATGTTAATGTATTTTATGCATTGGAAAGCACTGTAACCAAGTTTTAAAGGGTGTTTTCAGTTTTAAAAAGATGGAATAACTATTTACGGCTTCGTCTCTTGGTAAAATATTAAATCTGCCTCAGTTTAAAAATGTTGAAGGTCTTTAGTTATATTATATGTTTTAAGTCAGTTAATTGGCTTCAATATCTCTTGCTATTGGAATCACTGTAATGTATTTATGTGCTTCCTCCCGTGTATCAGTGTATATAGAGAGAATACTTTGTATTGTCATCAGAGATCATCAGGGACTTGGTGTGGTCAGTGGAATCGATAGCTGGATTGCCCGTGCTGTCTTAGGAGACCCCAGATCTCTCAGCCTGAGAAATAAATGCATAGATCAGTCAGTTTGTAGTTGATCTCTAGAAAACGTATCATAGCCGTTGTGTCACATGCTGGAGAAGTAACTTTGCCTTAAGTGCCCCGTGTGATAATAGGATCGTGCGACTCTGTAAGTTACAGTTGCAAATTCATTAAAATATGGTGTATCTCATCAAATTAAGTGGGCTCATCTGAGTTTTCTTCTCTTTCTAATAGAATCCAAACAAATGGCACGTTACTTGCACACAAATAATTCTCCCTATAAAATGACCCAAAATATTAGTTCCTGAAATTCGATTATTTCTGAAAGTGCAAATGAATTAAGTTTTCCACAAATATTAAATTTATGAGTAACCAAAGTTGCCGCATTTCGTTTGATGATAAATCTGGGAACCATTGTAGTAAAACGAGGGTAGTATTTATCGTGTATACAGATGCTCGGCGTCACTTGATAGACATTTCTTCATTTGAAGAAACAACCAGGTAAACGTGCACTATTATGTTGATGCATTTAAAACCCCTGCTTTCCGTTTAGGCTAAAATGCAATGAACTAGGGATGGGAGACCCAAAAGTTGCTAGGTGATATTCTTCAGTCAAAATAAGATGTACATGCATGGCGAGTATATTATTTTTATAAGTCAAATTGCTTTGATCACACCTTTTATCATGTTTTGATTACGGAATCAAGAAGTTTCCAGTTGCCCATTAAAATTGATTGGTAAATAATAGGACAGAGGAAACGACTCCTAGGCCCATCTATGCCACGCCCTTTCTTATTATTGGCTAAGTAACAGACCAGACTACTCCAACTCTCCCCCAATCAATTCATGGGAGTACTAGTATTAAATAGAATGTGGGGTGTGGTAATCAACACAATAGGTATATGCATCCTCTGCCATTTATGGATACATTCAAAACAAGCATCCAACTACTTCACATGCTCTAGGTAGGCATCAAACCCAATCCAATTTGATCACAATGCTTAATAGTTTATTCATGTGAAAAATTTACAGAAAAAAAATAAAAAATAGATAAATAAATTAGATCAATGGGTAAATTATTCATAAAGTACCATATTTGCATTAAAAAAAGAGTATACAATTCATTTATGAGTCAATGCACAGTTAATACATTTTTTGTGGACATATACATTACATATATTAATCTATATATCAGTATCAATCATTAAAGTGCCAATGGAAATCTCACTTAAACTGCAACAGAACTTAAATCTAGTTTCCATCATGGTTATATCATAAAATGTAGTAATAAGTGTAAATGCAAAAATAGAAGTGGTCCTTTAGCACAAATTTTGGAAGACAACACAGTTTAATAACATTTAGTTTTTTCCTGACGACGGCAATATTCGCAACAAAATGCACTTGTTTAAATGCATTACAAATCAATCTTGACTATAAAATCTTATAACAAAAAGGTTACTTTTTTCTACATTTATCTACCAATTAAACAAACCTCTTCTTTAACATGTATCACAAACATTATCAGCTGTTTTCTATTTACCAACTTCCCAAAATTAAATTAATTTATACTGAATACAAATTTTACTCAATTTCATTAAATATAGGAATGCCGAGGGGGGTGGGGGGTCCAACAAACCCATATTAAGTTGTGAAGATCTGTGAACATCACAGAGATCTTGTTACAAAATCCATTAGTGTAGTATAAATTCTCCATTAAATTTAATTTTCTTTGCAGTACATCAAGTGATTACAGAAATATCATGTGACCCTATGGTTTTCATAGGCCTGTAACTGAAAAATTTTTTAACTGAAAAAAAAATGGAGTAGACCATGTGATGTTTCAATATCAAAGGCAAGTTTTTCCACAAATCAGTCAACAGAGCCACGGGCTCACCAATACAACATTAAATTGGAAACAGATTCAAATTGTGCCACCTGATTTCTGAATACATACAGAAAGAGGAAGTCAATGGGTCATAATTGTATAACACCTCAGGAAAGATGTCATAAATCATGTATGTGACCAATCATTATGTATGACTGGAGATTGTTTCTATCCTCAGCTTCTAGTCCTTCCGTGCCAGCCCCTCCTTCAATAATTCTGGCCATTTCCTGACAGTTCAGGACTTAGTTCCTCTAAAGGCCTACACATGCCCATCTTCCTATCTGGCAGTTTTGTGTAGCATCATCATCATCATCATCATCTGTTTCTTCACTTTCCATGCCAGCTGTCTAAGAAAGTCCAGCCCATCCATCAATCATCCATGTCAATCTTCATTTTCATCCTCCTCCTTTTCCTCTTTGTCATCTGCTTCTGCAAGCCCAACCCACTTCATGGTCAGTGCCCAAAGACGGTCTGCTGTCTCATCATCCTTGGCAACAGGGTCTTCATCTTTAACCTCACAGTCACTGAAAACATGGCAATATCAATATATTTTTCCCAGTCAGCAGCATGCACATAATCTGCACGTTGATAAAGAAATGAGTTAGGAAAAGAAAGTAAGCACACAGACAAATGTAAGCTTTTGGTTTTGCCGAGCTTCCAAAAAAGCTCTTCTTGAAATCTATTTCTCAATTAAATTTCATAATTCATAACATAACACCTAATGGCAAAATTAACTTTAAACGTCCTTTGAGTAGCATTTTCCTTTACATAACATATATCTTTCATTACTGATTCCATTAATACCAAGCACCCCTTACACAAAATATTTTCCAGATACTTTCTCCAGTTCCTCTGCCACTGCCAAGTGGATAACAGTTTGAGCTCCATCCACGGCTGGCTTCATCAGTACAAACACAAAGGGTGCAAAACACAGAGCAACAAAAAAGTTACTTCTGAAAGGCATGTGGCGATGGGCTTGAGTTTTTACAACTCCTGGGTGCAAAGTATTCACCGTTACCCCTGTGCCTGGAAAAGTGATTAAAAACAATGACACAAACATGTTGGGATCACACACAGAAAAAAAAGTGCTGACTTAATCAACTGCTTCTGAAAATGCATGCTCAACAACTCAACCAAAACACAACTATTTTTAGTACAATGAGTAAACAAGAAGCTCTTTCAGATAACCAAACAGCGCAGGATCAAGACAAAAAGCATTTTCTTGAGAGAACAACTGAATATCCTTTATTTTTCACCATGTCTGAGGATTACCAAAGTTATTGATTGTACGAGATTCTAGGCTAAATCCAATTTTATCACCCATTTTTTATTTACTCCTTTATTTATTTTGCAAGAAAACTCACATTCTTCAACTAAATCAGTTTTTGGTAAATTTTGATAAAAAGTATCCATAGCAGTTTATAAATTGCTTTAAAAAATTAAATCAAACTGATTATTGATTTGATTTACCTTCCAATTCCTTGCTTAACTTTCTAGCAAACAACATCAGAGCCAATTTGCTATGGGAGTAGGCTTTACCAGGGGTATACTCCTCCTCTTCAAGGTTTATGTCATTTAACCTGAAAATGAATTATTTAGAATTTGTGAACTCATATATACAAAATACATACAGAAAATCTCTTTTGAAGAAAATTAGATTTGGTGAGACAATCCTGCACAGAATACCTTGAAGTGATTGGGTTGTCCGGTGATGTCAAATGAACTATTTTTGGTATGATATTGAATACTACGAAATAAATCCTAAACCTCACCTCATTGTACCTAACTGATATGCAGTTGCTGAGACACACACTATACGACTAGGAGCAGACGACTTCAAAAGGTCCAACAATAAATGGGTAAGTAAGAAGGTACCTAGTAAAAATAAATAATGTAACTACATAACCATTGTAAAAACATACTTTTTACCCGATAACACTTCCCAAGTTGTCAGACTTTTTAAACTGATACTGGAGAATAAATCCCTGTTTTATAAAAAAACTGTAAGTAAAAAGGGCACCGACTAGAATATTACAAACCTAAATAATTAGTTGCCATATGCAGTTCAAATCCATCTTCTGATTTGCTTTTTGGCCACAGCATTATTCCCCCATTGTTCACCAGAATGTGCAACTGGTCTTCCTCTGAAATTGAAAAAAATAAATTAATAAATAACTGTGACACATCCTTAATATAATTATATGGTGGTGGCTAAGATGAAATTTTTTAGCAATTTAAATTTTTGGGGAGCAAACAACACATGCTGCTGCAGATATTCTTTGTTGTTTTTTTTTAAATTTTATACTGATAGTTCATCATTAACAATAGCAAGGTCTACCAAGCTACATTTACAGCCTTCAATTTTTATATGTTCACTATGTCAGTATTCTCTAAAGACAAATAAACAATCAATTTGATAAAATGAAAACAAACAATAAATGAATGCCAGCAATTCGATACTGCTTTGACAGAAAAAAAAAGAGAAATGGCATTTCTTTTTCTTTTTATAAGAAAAAGAAGGGGAGAGCAAAGGGGGTGAAAATGACCCGCAACATGCATAGGCGAACAAAGACCCATATTTACCAAGTGTTGCACAATTTATGTGACCAGTGCTTACTAGAACCATTGCCTTTTCCTCATTCACCACTGTTCTGTACGTTGTCATGTACCAATGGTTCAGAATATTGAAGTCTATTGTTAAGACCACAGTTCACACAACACTTACATCAGAACAATGCTACATGCTCATCCATCTGTCATCTCTACCACAATGAAATTTACATGCAGCCTATCATCATGATACAAGTACTTAGAACCAAATTAGGGTCTGCCTTTTGTGAAAATGTGCATATTCACAATAAAATGTGAAAGAACAATGCTATATGCTTATCCAGCAATATCACCTCTAAATAAATGCGGGGGGGGGGGATGAGGGTGAGGGGGGGGGGAAGAAGGGGGGTTCTCTCAGTCTCTCCAGCTTCATATACCTATAACTGACATGGTGAGGAGGGGGAGGAGGCAAGTTTCTTAAGAACCCTAGCTCTTTCGCTTTTGCAATGCCAACTGTACTACTACCTGCAGCTATATTCCAGTGCTGAATCAATAGCTGATCAATATGTGGCCTCACAGCCTTATGCACAGACACAGATTTTAAACATGACTAATACCCTGACCAGATTCCAAGGAAATGAGCGGCTTTGATTTACAATGATATCATTAATTTCACTATTGATCACGGGTTAATGTGCTCCTTTCTTCTGTTAATCTTGTCAAAGCAAGAATACTGGTAAATTGACATAATCAATCCAACTGTTAACATAATGGTAATCAAACCCCTTTTTCCATTCTCTATGCCATTACATGTAGTTCTAGTGACTGAGATAAAGTAAAAATACAGCTTCAATATTTAAGTGAACAGAATTTTGTAAACCAGAACAAAATGCTATCACTATATATACTGGTATACACAAGATTACATTATTTCATATTTCATAGTACACTTATTGCTTTTATGAACATTTCTCAATTTACAATCTGTATTTACCACACAGCTGTGTTGTACAAAAAACATAGAAATATACACACTTACTCTTTTTGAATGCTGCTGCAAAATCTCTCACTGACTTGAATGAAGCTAGGTCTAATTTCATGAAGAAAACATTTTCATTTTTGGACAATTTTCTCACGCTGGCTTCAGCAGTTTTTCCTTTTTCTTCATCTCGGCATGCAAGATACACCTTAGCGCCTAGAATGTTGATAGCAAAAACTGTTAAAATCAATAGAAAAAAATATTAAAAAAGGCATTACAGTTATCAGAGGAAAATTAAAACATGTATCTGTCAGTCTGTTAATTAGTTGATCCTCTTCGTTCTCAGTAACATAACATTTTGAATTATATTTTTTTTATGAGACACATCTTTCTTCAAAGTTTGACAACAGGTCAAACAAAACATAACTCTTGATAAGCGTATCAACAAAGAAATAATTTAAGATAATATTAAGTTACCTCTTCTTGCAAGGTCTATGGCAGTCTCTTTTCCAATTCCTGAATTGGCCCCAGTCACAATCACAACCTTCCCCTTTAACCTGGCTCTGCTTACACATTGTCCACCTTTCATATAGCTCCTAATTAAAACACAATTAACAATTAAGTGACACACAGGTGTGAGTTTTTAAGCGGGATGCACATCATAACTAATAGTTCTCTGACAGGCTTTCGTGGCAATGCTGGTTGTGTATCTTAAAGCAGTTTAGATATTTTAGCCTTGAACACAATTTCTCAAATCTGCATTTAACTTCTTTTGTAAATTACATTTTTTATTTCCTAAGGAACATATTATTTTAATAACAGGATATTAGTTATAAAACTGAAAACAGTCCCTCCCTCCCCCTTGATGTGTGTGTGTGTGTGTGAGAGAGAGAGAGAGAGAGAGAGAGAGAGAAAGAGAGAGAGAGAGAGCACAAAATTTATGCATTAAGCACTCCTATAATGAATAATGATTGGGATATACATGTACTGGCTGTGTGAATCGAAGGGGAAAGATGGGGGGGGGGGGGTTACGGAGGACTTATAAAGCAAAAAAAGGCTATAGGAATTTGTAACCCCTACTAGCAATCACTTTGCCTAAAGTTGGTCTTACTCTGCCACATGTAGCCAAGCTGGTAAATAATGAACAGCGTAACACCTTGCACTTGCAGGTACAAGTACGACACTAATTACACTGAGGCAGTCTCGCCCCACCCAGTCCCAGGATGCGCACTCAAAACACGTGCTTGTTTTAACACTTGATATATTAAAGTCCCATTCCTATTAAACTGACTGAAACACTAAGCACTGTAAATTTTCGTCATGTTTATGCTTGGCAACATCTAGTCCGAAAAAATCTTGTTGCGTTCACTCACGCAGTCACGCTCACAGTCAACAACCATCATCAGGCCCTATCTTCACTTACTTTAATCCATAAACAACACCTACAATAGCTGCAAGAATCCACGGCCACCGGACGGCGAAAATGTCGAATTCTGGAAATTGAAAATCCTGCATGTTCACTCACACAGCCAGGGAGTACTGTAACTGTAAAGAAAGCCGGTATGATCAGTATAGATCCGGTTGACCCAGTTTTACTGGAAATCCGCTTGCTGGTCTTCGCTAGCACATTTTCATTTCTATTTGCATAAAAAGCACCCTCGCTTAAATGTCAAACGTAAATACATTGCTCAAAAATTAGGGCCTACTAATATTGTACCAATGGGTTCTGTTTGAATGCAGATCTAGGGGTTTTTTCTCTTTCGACAAAAATTATAAACTTAATCCGTCTGGCCCGCGGATATAAATATATAAGACATGAAGGTGCAAATACGCGCATCTTCATCTAACCGTTGGCTATGGTGAAAGTACGCAAAACTTATAATTGCTTTTAACCAAGGAGTTATAACAGAAGTTCTGTTATAACTCCTTGCTTTAACTCATCTTTCTCTTAGCATAGAACTAAAAATAATTTCAAATTAAACTTAGTGATCTGATTTTAGTTTTCCTACAAAATCGGTTTTCAACGCCATAAATCACTTTCACGCAGCTTTCAGTCTTGTGCCGATGAGAACTGAACAAAAAGTCAAAATTTAGTTAACAAATCGAACATTTAGGCCTACATATAATATTTTAACTGCAAAGTTCACTAATGACAATTTCCTCATATCCCCAACCATTTTGAGCCAAAGGAGTTCTTATTATCAGTTCTTAAAATCAGGGGTGTGTGTTAAAGTGTGGACATTCTCATGACATCCAAACGGTTTCTGAAAAAAATATCGCACCAATATTCCCCTCTTGAAATTGGAATTTTAAATAACTAATATATAGTTCTAAACCGTACAAAAAAGCACTGTTTGCTCTCCAAAACTAGGTTAAGATTTATTCTTTTTTTTTTTTTGGGGGGGGGGGGGGGGATGTTATTAATATCATCTAAACACTACTTGATTCAATGAAACTGAGACGTTCTTTAAGAACTACTTTAGGCTACCATTTCCTGGCTAACAGTATATTTTAGATATAAAGTAAAATCATACACAGCATTGGAGAAGAATATACTTCATTATTTCCACTGGTTTTATAAACTTCTTGACATTTAAGAGAGCCAGACTGAATGTTCGAAGTTAAACTTGTTATCTTGCATTTAGCATAAAAAATTAAAGAGTCATAGGCCTCATCTCCAATGAAGCAATCATTCTACACAGATCCATTCAACTCAGCGGAGACTTGCTGAATGCAATCAGACTAAGTAAGGCCTCCCTTTGAGGTTAAGTATAATACAGAAAAACTGGTCATTTGCCAAGTATGTTGGACAAGAGTAGGTGTGTAAAATCTGACTGCATCCAACGAGAGTTCCCGTGGAGTTGGATCGGTCTAAGTAAAACAATAGTTTTAATGGGAATCAGCCTAGAGACAATTTTTTTACGGAGTGTTTTTTTTTTTTTTTTTTTTTACCTTGGTGACCCTCATGGCAATTCCTTCTGGTATATTCCTCTGGATGTACTCTAAATACGTATCAGTAGTGCTTCCAGTTACACGCTGGAGCTGGAAGGAGAATAAATTTCCATATGCTGATTTAATAATCGAAATTACTTGGTAAATTTAAAGTAAAATAAAAATACAGTTCAGCAGTTATCGGGTGAACAAATGTATCAGACAAGGACAACGTGATTATAATACACAGACACACTTGGTTGTGTCTGGATATATATATATATATATATATATATATATATATATATATAACCATTCAGTTTAAGACTTTCAATACATTCTTACTATGTTTCTGTCCTTATTATCTAGATGAACCGCCAAAACTATAATATTTAGAAATATTCACTGAAAAGAAAAATAAGTGCTCTTGGCTTTGAGAAATACTGATCATGTTTGGCCAGAACCAAAATTCACTGGTCAAGTTTTCAAAATAAATAAATAAATAAAATCAAAAATAAAAGAGNCAAATAAGAAGAACGGGAACTGGCTGAGGCAATTTCTCTCATGGTTGACGAGGTGCGCAAGAGGTAGAAAGAATCAAGACTGAAAAAAAGTGACATATTCAAATTTTGCAGAGGTCACAAATTGTGCAATTAAAAAACTCTTATAAGTTCAATCTACGGAATGTTTACAGGAATCGACATCGGGATCAATCACATACAAGAAACTTTCCCGTAATTAAAATGGATACTCTTTGTTACTGTTACAAGACTCGCTGAAACGGAGACACGAAAGTACGATGTGCATGCTTATTCCACATTTTACATAAATATGCAACATCGTTGTTTGAATAAATTTACCCATGTTTATGGTGTTATTTTCAAGGGCCTGTTGTATAGTGGCATCATGGTATTAAATTCTCTATACAAGTACAGTATCATCCGTCAGTATTTTATACGTTGTTTGTAAATCTAATAAAACAAATTATTCATTTTTTACAATTGGTATTCTTCTGCTTCTTAAAAAAAACAAAATCATGCACCTTACTGTGGTGCACCTGTGTAGCTTGATAAGATTAAAAGACAGTGTGCTCCTACTGGTAGGTGCTGATTTTGATATTAATTAAAATTAAGGTTCAAGATTATTAATTAAAATTAAGATTTGGGCTATTTATTTTTCTCATTTATGTAGTTTATAAGTTCAACAGGCTAAAACTTTTTGACAGTAGGATTAAATATCAAGCATAATAGAGGTCCATACCCCCAACATCTGGAACTGGTCTTTCAGAAATACGTCAAATGCTTAGGAATAGGGGGAAAAGCAAATTGTAACATATTTGTAAAGTTTTCTTTTTTTATTATAGATGGTGTTGATATCAAATGAAGAAAACCAAAGAAAAGTCATATCACAGAAACATTGCAGCAGATGGATTTTCTATACTTTTTGTAGGGAAGAACAGACGGATTGATTTCTTCCAATATTTTCTCTTATTTTCCCCAAAGGCCAAGCAGCTAGAGTATGTCTATTACTGTCTTCTCTAGATTTGTGTATTCACTGAAACATAACTGGAAGAAAGGCAGCGTCTCCCTCACAGGTTACATGGGTAATCCTTTCTCTTGGCATACGATGAGAGTACTCTATGAAGCGATGGCCATTCACATATACCTGAAACAAAAACAAAGTGTGAGAATGTAAACATTGGCTAAAATTAAATCTCGAATTTTTGGATTTTGTTAGTAACTGTAAACAAAAACTTTATACTAACAGTGTTGCCAACAGAGACAATATGACAAAAAATTTTAAAAGTAGCACCAGATTCAGTTCAATTACAATATAAATGAAAAAAATAAATTAGTGGTACTTGGTTTGTCACTAATATGTCATCAAAGACAAGTGAGATGAATCCTCTAGCATATCTATAGTCAAATGCCAACTTTTATGTCAAATTTAATTAATTTTTAGTATATGGTAAGTTCTACTTGCAAAGACATTTGTTCTGCCCCTTAAACTAACCTTGAACTTATCTTCCTTGACCCCAAAGACGACCTCAAAGATTTCTCCCTGTGGGAAGGGCATGCAGGGAGCGTCCCTCTCCTCCTCCTGCCACCCGCCATTTTCCAAGGAATTACGGACAACGCAGTCCTGTGACATTCGTGGGTTAAAGTGCAGGGCAATGTCCGCCTCAGAGGGTTCACCACATTGCAGGTTGATGTGGAATCTGTAGCAATTACAAATACTTTTATGGAAAAACAAACACACAGTTGGGTAGGGGGAGGGCTGTCCCCAGACTTTACATATGTCCATTGGAATATATGATTTAATAGTCAACTATCATTAACTTACATCCCTGGCACACACACCAAAAGTTGTTGATAAACTAACTGAAAAAATTAAATCCTGCTTGATTCCATTAATATCACCACTGGGTGGACACATGTTTTCACTTTCTATCATAACACAAAGAAGATGTCCTCAGTCACAATTTACCTGTCAGCATCATTGTTAACCACACCACAGACTGTGATCCACCTGTCATCCACCATCTCCCCAGGGATCAGCTGACTACCCTGGGGACCCTGGAGACAAAGTGAAAGTTATCAGGATGTATCACCAGACATCTGGCCACCATGTGGAACATGTAATTGACCCTCGGGAAAGTGTTTTTGGTCTGCTTACATAAGAAACTCCCATTAAGAAGCAAATATGTTGCCACATAGAGAAGTGAATGTGCTAAAAAATTGTTTCTGAACAAATTCAATTACAGTTTTATCATGTAATCCATCCCACATCTTTAAATTAATCCAACCAGTGTTAAAATAACTTTAACTGAACCACATTATTTAAAGTCAGTAGTCATTATACTGATGAACTGGAATTAAATGATTCTCATTTTGCTACCAAAATTATCTGACCCACTAAGAAAAATGTATGTGCAGACATAAAATAAATCCATTGCAAAAAAAAAAAAAAAAGGTTAAGTATGCTCACTCTGATATATTTCAGATGTCATTTTAAGCAGAAAAAAATATGACTTATTAATTCAAGTACGGATTAATTGAAATACTTACCTTGTTCTTGACCACTTGGACAGTGTAGAAATCTGCATCCCCATCAATGGCCACAAAGCGGACATCCTCCATTGGCATGCGGTGGCTAAACACAGACAGCTTCTTACCATTCAAAAATACCTGCCAATGATGTTAAATATTTATACATTTCTTTGTCTGATGACTTCTATAAATTATTCTACTTCAAATATCACAATATAACGATATTTGGATGTTAAGGTTTGGCCCGTCTTAGCTGTTATGCACATCGGTGGAGATAGCGTTTTACTTTTTTGACTAGAGCACGCGCTTATAGTTAGTTATGTTCTGATCACTAAAAGACACTAATTCCCGCAATGAGGTAAGACTTTATGAATCATTTAGTAATTTAAACAGTTAATAAGAACTTTATAAGCTGTAATTGTAACATAATTTAAGGATAATTTCTTAATTTGATGTATTTTGTTCATTTCAGTTTCTACGTGACAATTTCAATGACAAGCAAATAAAATAGATGTGAAAAAGACTAAAGAAGTTTGCTTATTCGTAACAGTAGAAACTCAGCGACGATTTAGTGAAAGATAGTAGAAACTGAGCGACGATTTAGTGAAAGACGATCAGCATAGTATTTAGAAAAGATGGCAACACAAGCGGAAATGTTACTGCTGCAAGCAGAACTGAAAAGGGTAGAGTCGGATATAGACCAAACCATGTGTGAGTTGGAAAAGCATTTTAATTTCACAAAGTCAAATAT